TTTGCAGTAAGAGGACCGACCAAGCCTCTTCTTCCATCTCCTGTTACAAAAATCAATGCCGTGTACACGTCCACTGATAGGAGACGCGGAAGGTATTAAACTGATCAGAACAATACTAAACACACCACTCCTTTTTTTTTGGTGAGGCTTTACAGGACAGAGTGCTTCTCCACGGGACATGTTAACTCACGGGCGGCTGGCTCATCAAGGAACCAGAGCAGCTTTCCATGTACAGGTAAGACACGTGCAGCCGGTAAGGGTTCAGGCTCTTCTTCCTGGAGGATACGCTGCAAGCCTGTTGAGCGAGGTGACCTTGCTCGGGTCCCAGGTGTACGGTTCCTAAAATGGCTGCCATATACACGTCCACTGATAGGAGACGCGGAAGGTATTAAACTGATCAGAACAATACTAAACACACCACAAATAAGGTTTCTCTCCTGTATGGCTCCTCAAATGATGCTTAAGATTAGAAGCGGCTGAAAAGCATTTCTCACACTCCGAACAAAAATATATATTTTTTAACATTCTCTCCACTTTGAACGAAATGACGTTTGGGAAGAGATTAACATAATTAAACACAGGCAGTAAAAATACAGTTTTTAGCCATACCCTGTAACTTTAAAACTACACATCCCATCTTCATAATTACATATTTGGAATCAGCACACTTAAAACATAAACATAACCAAAAATCAGCCAAATCCATCAGGGGTTAAAAAGTTAGCTGGAGGTCCCTTTATGACCGACCGCAAGCACATTTTCCTGCCCAAAACAGTTCCATAGATTTGGGCTGTGAGGTCGGTCTATTTCAGGCTGAAAAAACGACTAAGTCCCATCACGAATGGGACTTAGTCTTTTTTTCAGCCGTTTTTTTCAGCCTTATTTCAGCTGCAGAGACTAAGTCCCATCGCCGAATGGGACTTAGTCTCTGCAGCTGAAATAATTTCCCATTTACTGAACCAAGTGGGAAATAGCAAGGCAGGCACAAAGGGTTTGCACCAGGTCTGGGGACACAGGGGACACCGTCTTAAAGGGGCCGTGTCCCCAACAAGTCTGGGGACACGGCCTTAAAGGGGCAGTGTCCCAATCTTCCTGATGTCCCAAAAAAGGTGTTTAAAGGGCCAGCACCAGTCACATAAAGAGTCCATAAGCCCCAATATGCCCACCGACAGTCTTAAAGGGCCATACACACCAAATAAAAGTGCATACATTTTCACAATCTCCCAGGGGCCATAGTCATGCGGGAGGAGGCTGGCAAATAGGCTTCTCCACAACCCAGGGAAGCAGGGCAATTTGCCATTTAAAGGGCCCGTTACAAATAGCAGTTTGTAACAAGGTGTCAATCCATATCTGCCAAGTGACCCGATGTAGGGGGAACAGTCCCTATTCTGCTCTGTGTCAGTGTGTATCAGGGATCCTTAGGACAGGTGTCAATCCATATCTGCCAAGTGACCCTATGTAGGGGGACCAGTCTCTATTCTGCTCTGTGTCCGTGTGCATCAGGGGCTCTGAGGACAGGTGTCAATCCATATGTCAAGGTGTCAATATGTCATATGTCAGGTGTCAATCCATATTCATTGTGATTTAGGAATGTTAGGTGATTTCTGCCCTTTATGGATTAAAACCAGACTCTGTATCAACTGTGTAATTTTCCATGGGAGTTTTGCCATGGATCCCCCTCCGGCATGCCACAGTCCAGGTGTTAGTCCCCTTGAAACAACTTTTCCATCCCTATTGTGGCCAGAAAGAGTCCCTGTGTGTTTTAAAATTCGCCTCCCCATTGAAGTCAATGGCGTTTCGGGCGGTTCGCCGGTTCGCGAACATTTGCGGAAGTTCGCGTTCGCCGTTCGCGAACCGAAAATTTCGGGTTCGCGACATCACTATACTGGTGTATAGATGAATTCTATTATGTAGCCCCTTATAGTCTGCAGGATCCAGGCATTCGTAGAGATCTTTTTCCAGTTCTGTGGAAAGAGGGACAGATTGCCTCCGGTTATGTGACTGACAATGCAGTGAACGAGATATGCTCACTTGAGTTGAAAAGTCCACATGAGCCTCTGGCACAAAAGGATCCCCCTGAGAAGGTGGTCCGTGACGATGGAAAGAAGGGTTGCTGTGTTTGAGTTCTGGGGGCTGTGGACCAGAAGCGGCTGGTGGCTCGGCCCCTCTGACGACCAGCCCTGAAAAAAAAACCATTTGTTCGGTGTAGGACTGCGGAAAACGTTTGAGCCTTATTAAGGGTTGTGTAGAGATGTGTATGCTATTTCAGTTCCGCTATGATGAAAGGGCTATTATTCTGAGAACTGTTCAGAGGGCCCAGTTCCTTTTTTGCCAACTCCAATAGTTTTGAGTGCATCTTGAGCAGTGCCGCCTTGCGTCTTTCTGCACATATGGCTACTTTCGTGTTGCCCAGCATGCATATGGCCCGTTGCACCCATTCTCTTACGTCATGAGCATCCAAAGGGAGTGCCCTGGGATAGTGCCAGATCCGCAAAGTATAAAATCTTAGCCAGTGGGCCGAGCATGGGACAAAGATTACCACCGTGGTGTGAGCAATCTTGTCGGGGAGGAGCGGACATGGGCATTCTCCATAGGTTCTCTCAACCAAAAGTGTATGAATTGTGCCAGATCTGGCAGTCCCCATTCAGACTCTCTCGGGTGTTTGATTGTGCGGGGAACAAACATGGATTTAACAAGTGTGTCGAGGAATGCACCGTCCTACAGCTTGTCAGTGGATATGCGAGAAGCCCTCTTAACAAATTGACCGTCTCGGATAGTTTCCCAGACATATAGTGAGTCCTCCTGCTGCAAATCTTGCCACTCTCCGTTCATCCACAATCGCCAAGGAGGGAGGGAATCATCTTCATCCAAAGATGGAATATACAGGGGAGTTGGGTTCTGCCTGGTGGCTTCATTTGAGGGGGCCTTGCCCCTTGATTTCAGAGGGCCCATGGTGATGCCCATAGAGTGTCTTTTAGACACAAAAGCTTCCTGTTTGGATATTTCGGAGCCCATAACTTCTGCGGCAGTCGGGTGTCAATACCCGCTAAGTCAGGGGAATTCTGCACAAGCATCTTGGAGATCGTTTTCTCTACCGAAGCTCTTGGTGGGTGATGCGTTTGGAGAGGTACGGTTTACCCCAGTTGTAGTATGGATGTGCCGTATTATCTAGTATTCCAACGACCTGTGGTCTGTATGTGGTACGAATAGGGTTTTAACCCTGTGTAGTAGAGCCTCTATGGCTATGGTGGTCACCCCAGCTGTAAGGGGGGTAGGGGTCACCGCTGTTTGTATCAGTTTGCCACTGAAGGGACAGTGTATATCTTGCTTAGGGGGGGGGGTCACTCCTGTGAACGCTGTGTTTAAAAACACCACTGAGTACTTGCAAGAATGGGGGGTCACCCTTAGTATGGGTATGCCATATGAAAACGTATGATAGAGTTAAATCAGTAGATAGGGTGGAATTCAACCTGTGTGGACATCCATAAGGTGCCTGTAGAGAACCAGGTCTGTACCAACTGCAAGCAGACATACATCCAGGGTATACACAGATAATATGAGCAAAATTCAGTTTTTAAGGTAGATTGGAAGAGATAAGCCTACACAAATACAAATAAAGGCATTGTTTTCTATTTGTTTGAATCTTAATTACATTGAGGAACATACATAGAGACTCGACTGCAGGCCAGATTGTGGGAACCACAATCTGGCTATATAAATGGCTGACGTGAGTCACATAAGAATTTTAACCGGAGACGACCGCGGTCTGCTGGTAAATAGAAAGTGTCTCTTGCTCCCCTCCACTCACAGTACCTCTCTGGCTAGCCTCAGAACCCGGTAACAGCAGCGTAATTGCGGTTAAATTGTGTGACGCGCGATAGAATGAGGGGAGTGGAAGGGCAATGGAGATGGAAGGTTCAGGCCCCTGTCTGAGAGCAGATCTCTTGGCTGCAGCAGCAAAGAAAGAGGAGGAGCTATGCCTGTCAGGGTTTTATATGGATATGTTAGTTGCTTTTGATTGGTTAAGTTTTATGATTGACTTGTGCTGCTGGAGGCATAAGTAAAGAAAGTTATGCAAAATAGGAAGCCTCCTGTCATGTAGTAAAATGAAGGATATGGTTCTCATCAGCCTGTATAAGCAGGGGCTGTATACAGGTCAGATCATACCAGTAAGCAATCAACCAAGTATAAAATAACGTATACATTTACTGTCCATATTTGAAGTGAAAGTATGGATCACGTTTACACCTACCTTCTATAACAAGTCTACAACAAGATTATTGGTTGTAAAAGAAACGTGGACGACCCTATGAATTACGTGGTCCCGTTCTGCACTTTCTAGGTTGCAGAAAGGTCATCCCTTTTGTTTATATTTGAAAAAAAAATAAAAAATAAAAATTCAAAATCCTTACAAAACCATAAAATTTATTTAATAAAAATATTTGATGATAAAGAATAATACAAACATTTACACACACACAAAAAAAAAATTAGATACAGAATGTACAAAGTTGCTAAAATAAGAAACAGGATGGGATATTAAATAATGTGGCTGAGATGGTTAATCTTGACACACTAGATGTTTATAACACTACAACTCATCTTCTGCACAGTGAGCGCTAGACTTGCTTGAGGACGATGAGGAATGCAGTCCAAAAATCTGCAGTGTCAGAATTAGCCATCCTTCTTATACAGCACTAAGGGGACATACTACAACCACTACAGCTCAATGATGTACTTATAGTACAGGGAAGCTTTGCCTCCAGTTTTTGTCAAATCATTTTAAAGGGTTTGGGGCAAACTGGAGAAATCCTGGCACCCAAAGCCCGCTGTTTGGCGCATGTGTCAATTTACATCGCTGAATCTTGCTAGCCGTACAAATTCTTTCAATAAATAATTAAGTGAAATACCGTCGTTACAGAGTTACAAAGCAGAAGTGATGGATTTTAAGTATCAGATTCTATTATTTTTTTTTTGGTAAAACCACTTGAAACAGTTTGGAGCATCACCTTGAGTTTTATGCATAAATTGGAAAAAGCGATCAGATATATCTGATATCTGCTGTGATCACCATCTTGGGGACACAGAAGGCAACTTCAGTGACGTATGACTTGCAATATATTTGCTGGTGATTTTGCCAGCACAATGTATAACTCTAGCACTTCCATAACATGGTCCTAGCTTAAATATTTGTCGATAAGCAAGACAACTTAATGTATCAGTTCCATGTAGGAGCAGAGGCCGAAAAACAGCAAAAGGTTAGAGTGTCACATAAAGAAAGTGACAAATTTAGTAAAATACATGAATGAATCGAATCTTCTTTATGATTGTTAAGAAATAGTTTTGGGTTCATGAATGATTAATCAAACCCATAGGGTTTTCTTTGTTTTTACACAGGATAGGGCTGTAAAAAATCCTTGAGGGCCATGTCTGGCCTGAGGGTCTAGAGTTGGACACTACCCTTGTCAGCTGGATATTTTTACAGAACTAAAACAAATAAGGTTAAACCCTTCTTTAGTCAAATGATAAATAACTTCTAAACATTATATCCCATATGCAAGTGAATGAGTTGAGTGAGAACTATAAATTGGCATCATTCCAACCAGTACAGAACACGCACAGGTGTAGAATTTAAACCTTGGAGACAATTAGGTCAATTTTAAAATGTTAAAATAATCATTAAATCACAGTGAACTTGTACCATTAGCTACAGAACTGGGGTATTATATTAATTTGCAATAATATGGGATTGGCTTTTTTTTAAAAATGGGTAGTACTGCACACTATAGTGGTTAGGTGCCAGGAGTGCCTTAGCATCTCCCGCTACTTCCAATAGAGAGTTGGAAGCTCACTGACCTAAGGTCGATAGTCCAGTGATTAACCCAGGAGAACTAATGGAACGTCCGAATGATGTAGTGGAGGTGGGTAGTGGGACACGGCAGACATCAGGTAAGAAATCAGACTGTTCTAAAATGGTTTGACTAGGGTGCCAGTGTGCCCTTGCGACTCTCTGTTGGAACTAATCACTACAGTGCACTTTAGTAGTTATGGTGCCTGGGGTGTTATTTTAATCCAATAAAAATAAAAAACAATAATAATTCTTTAGTGACATGTCTACACTAATAGAATGTCTGAAGTCGAGCATCATGTGAACACATCCAACATTTAAATGGTCATACATGTCATGTCAGTTGATCACCTTTCAATTAAAGGACACAGAAGAACCCCTTATTAGTTTTTGCTGACAGTTCTTGCTTTTGGGAACAGGATGTGTTCAGAGTCTCCCACTCCTGGCAGCATCTATACACAAGCATTTAAACTCCGTCTAAAACTTATACATCCCATTAAGAGTCATTAAGATGCAGTTAAGAGCTCTGGGTAAGAGCTGGAGGCACGCTGACATCAATCCCGGAAGAACGGTGGGGGTTGCAGGCGGAAGGAGGAGGAGTAAACCTGCTCAGAGGAAGGAATGGTGGGGGTGGGGAGGAGAAATAAAAAAAAAAAAAAAAACCCCAACAACAATGACAGACAGGTCAAAAAGAAACACTGGCTCAAAGCAAAATCTAAGAATGTGAACCAGCGAGAAGGGCAGCCACCAAGCAGACAGATCCGTTTTGTACGGATTCACATAAAACGTAAAGTCTTGTCAAGATGCCAAGTCTTAAGCTAAAGTCGTAAGCTATAAGGTGGGTGTGACAGTGACACAGTGTGTTGTAATTGGAGTTTAGTTGTCAGCCAGCACGGAGCATAGTTGTTTCCCGTACCAGCTCTGGTTAAGGTCCACTTGGACAGTCCGGAGATGCCCGTAGTGTTGATTCTGTTGGGGTGGATTCTGACGAGAGGGCAGCAGAACATCCCAGTCTAATTCTGATGAAACATTATCTGCGTCCAATTTGGGCTGAAAGCAAGGGAAGCTGTGAGTGGACGAACCGCCTGTGAGTTCATTGCTGTCCCACTTAGTCCAATCTGCCCAGACCGGGATTGGTATCTGATCTCCACCATTCCATAGTCCCATAAACATTGGAATTGCCACAGTCTGCGTATAGGCAGGCTGGCATGTATACGACTGCCTTTTAGCAGGAGGGGGGTATGGAGATCCACAGAATTTACGCTTGGTTTTGCGACAATATGTCCTTGCCACCAGTGGCTCCACGTCCTGTGAGGTCTCTGTACTTTTGACAGTCTCATTTGACGCTGGCTGAGAGGTGGTTGTAAGTGGTAATAACCAACTCCCGCAAGGTAGCGGTGACAATATCAAAGGGTCAAAAGGTTTACAGATGGAAGTAAACGGATGTTCTACTTGATTTTGGTACCATGTAGGAAATCCAATTTTGGTCAGAGCCCAGGCATTGTCCAAATATGTATGCGAGTTACCCATAACACTTAGCAACGGTTCTTTCGTCAAATCAGTCTTGGAATCAACTGCAGGATCTATTCGTGGCGGTTTGTGCACAGCTGCATGATCCTCTAGTAGCATGCGGACAAATGATGGGGCAATGGTATTACCCAGAGGAAAGGAGAGCACTGGTGGTTGCAAATCTAAGAAAGTCAACGGCAGTTTGGAGTCTTCCAGGTTTTCATTAGAACAAGGAATGTGTAACTTGCTTTCAATATTATCTTCCGTCCGCTCTGCCTGGACAACCATATTATGGTCCTGAAACTCCACAGAAGCACCATCCATGGTCTGTGTAAAGAGCTCTGCAAATTTTGTGGAATTAGCCTCAAGCTCGACATTCACCAATTCCATAACATTCCAGTTTAGCACAGCTGCTTCTTCCAACTTTTCATAAACAGGCTGATCAATCGGAGCCACTTCTGGACAAATGTCTTCAACAGCAGCCTTGCTCACATTGATTTCCCGCACAGGTTCCAGAGTAGTTACCTCCTTCATAGTCTGTTCTGTATCTAGACTGGGCCATTCCAGTTCACCTTGTTCTGATCTACAATCCATAGAAGGTACGACCCTAATAGACAAAAAGAAAATATTTCAGTAAGTTGAATTTAATTAATAAAACGTAAGATCTACATTAATCCCATAGAAGGAGAAAAAAAAAAATACAAATATGGAGGCGCCCATTTGCAGAGTAAAGAGGTGTGAATTTCTACATTTATTTTGTTACATATAGGAATATCTAAACATAACATGAAAAATCCTGTGAAGTGACAGTCCTGAATAAAGCGCTCTAATTGGGGTTCAACTTGTGTGTCATTACAAAGACCAATTGTGCATTTATAAAGGCCAGAAATCACTCACACCAACCACCCTCCCCCCCCTCCAAATTAAACACATTACCTTTCTGCTCACAAATAATCCACTGTAATTAGCTGACAGTGTAATTAGATATACAATAGTACCTGGGTTAATTAGATTACCTGTATTGGCTTCATCACGCAGATGTCTATTTGCAAAATCAGGCCTGTCGGCACACCCAGTCAGCAAATTGTATTTAGCACTGTGAGAGCCAGTAACTTGCTATTATTACATTATATATCCCATTAAAGTGCAGCATTATCTTTGCAATTATTAGATCGGTCAGATCTTTTCCACTGAGGGATAGACCGCAATGGCCTGGGTTATATATATCGCCTGACAATACAGCTCTATATTACAGGTGTTGCATAGGCCTTGTTACAGTCTTGAGGTACATCCCGGTGTTACCCCCTTAGAAGTTGGTGATTTGACCTTTAATAACTCTTGCCTTCCATGCGATTTGTGAGTTTCTCTGGCAAGATTTGCAGCGTTAAACAAACATTCTGGTAACTTCACAAAGAGATGAAATCATTTCAGGAGGGTCTGAGAGTTGGCTAATTGAAGCTACTCTCCTGCAGGTAAACAAAATGCTACAGGGTTGAAGAAACAGCATCACTTAGTATAATGTCTCTGGAAGGTAAGAGTTCCCTGTGGGAAGCAATAGTCTATGGGATCTGAGCTGCCAGCCATTGGAATTGGGAGCCAGCCAAATAAACAATTAAGGTTATGGAGCTATTCTCTGGCAGGAGGTACAGGGAAAGATTTATAAACATTATGGTTTGAAAAGGGGGGAGGAAAGGGTTTGTTCTTAAAGTGGTACGAACACTTCTAGTGTGTCTTTGGAGAGAAAAAAAAAATCATAACTAAAAAGGAATGAGAAAAAAAAAAACACAGACAAGACAAACGTGAGATACTCATGCCCATTATTTTTCTTCCGTTATATGGTCAGTGTGACAAACCCACCCGGGTCACCCAGGACTAATACATGGCTCTGAACCGCTACATCCTCCCAAAATAACTGTTGTCCCACACTTAACCCCCCCTGTAGACCATACCTGCCAACTCAAAGCCTCGATCCAAAAGACATCAGAGACTGTTGGGGGACTCACAGAGACACGGTCTGACCGTGATAAGATCAGATTGCAGAGTTGCTGCGATCCATTAAAACTTCATTAAGGTTGCTCTCTGTCCTAGGGCCACCAAACAGGGCTCTATTTAGAGGGGTGGTAGAGGAGGTGGTGAGACAGACACCAAAGACATAAGGGAGCTCAAAGTACCGACGGAAAGTGCAATCGTCAAAAGTGCCCGGGACATTCCACCGAGCACTGGTTTGGGGATGCAGGCACGGGAACCCAGGTTTTCTGGGTAAAGTAATATGTTCGGCACCGAGGTATTTGGCCATTTAAAAAAAATTATCCCATCAGGTACAGACACCTAGGCGCCAGGTATTGCACAATGCCATTGTTCTTCTGATATGCAGAATAAATCAAGCTTGATAAAGACCCTGTAGGGTCGAAACATTGCCCCAATAAAAGCTGCCATTTCTGTTATCCTGGAGTGCCTGAACCGCTCTTTATTCTGCATATCTTGGAAGGGAGGCCTGGACAGTCCTGCCTTCAGAGTATCTGTGTTATTTGGGGAGTGCCGTATCCAGTACGTCTCTACGATTGTTCTCCTGATAGATCTCCACACCAATAAAAACCACACTTGTTTCACCTTTACATTAAGCCATGGCTAATGACTAGGGATGGGCAACATTCACTTGGCACCTATTCACAAAGAGGGAAAGGGAGTCCTTGGTGGTGACACTCTGGTGCCCTGCAAGTAGGCAGCCACAGCCAGCCCTCTTGGTAAATGTTAAGGACAGGATGTCATATTGGTCTCCTGCCTTCTTTCCTACAGAGCTCTCCCAACGCCCTCACATTTGATCGCCACGAACAGCAATTACGTGAAGGTGCAGTGACCCGGCTCCTGCTTACACATTGTATCCATCAAATTTTATAACCACATAACTAATTATGCTACAGCAAATTCAGTCTGAAGTCCTAATTTGGATCTGGATATTTATAAAAGTTACTAAGGAACTCACGAACAGTGTCGCAATTAGGCGCACATGAGGCAATTTCAATGCAGTATTCCCAAAAGGTACTGAACAGAAACAAAGAACACAAAGGCACTCTGTCACCCAATTCTCTGGAGTCCTATTGAGTTGTTATAAGATGTACGGTGTCAGCTCAGCTTTGTTATTTCTATGGTTCTATGTGCAAGAACCGAAAACCCCCTCCTCTCCCCCCACCCCCAAAAAAAAAAAAACGCAACGGAGCTCAGTACTACATCAATCACCATCCTTTACCAACAGGACTTCGTCAGTGGTCATAGCAGCTCGCCCAAAGATCAGCCTATACTTGATGAAGGGTGAAAAAGTGTAGGTATATCACAAAACAATCTGGGGAACTGGCTAAACCGATATCAGAATGAAACAACAGTGTAGTACAGTTTTAAAAATAGTATTGTGTGCTTTAAAGAGTCAGCACTCACAAGATGGAGTTTGTCAGTCTCTAGGGTGCCTCCTCTGAATTGTGGGGCACAACTGTAGACTGTCTCTACTCACCAGAAGTAGCAATGGAAATGGAGATAGGGTCGGTTTGTCATTTTCCATGTTGCGCACGATACTATTTGTAACTTTTACAGAATGTTACGTTTCATTCTGATATAGGTTTACTTGGTTCCCCAGATTTTTTTGAAATATACATACATGGTCGTAGAAGGAAGTTTGCTGGGAATTCCTTGGGGAGGCTGTGCTTATAAATTCGCACACCAGTTAAGTATTGTCTTTTTGTTGGAGGGATATATTTTTACATATCTATGAAAACAAACGTGTACTTTATACAAGGTAGAATGCATATTATTGCTGCAGGGAGGTGATTGATAAGACTCAAGATCAAGTCTGTCCTGATCACAGTTAATAAATCAGAGGATGATAGAATTTGTCTGAGCTGAACTCATTCAGGTATGTAGAGTTCTCTTACCAGACAAGAGCACCAGAGATTCCAAACCCTAAATGGTTTCCTTTCCTAAGGTGTAACCCTCAAACACTGTATATCCACGAGCAGACACCAGTCCAAATAGTGCCTGGATCGGAAGTACCTAGCTAGAGTAATAATACTTAGAGAATGGCCACAACCCAGTCAAACTATTGACTTCCATGCGTGCAGCCGATTAGTCCTGGTGTAGTAAGGATGGCTCCTGGAGCCTCTGGGAAGGGTTCGATGTCTCAGCCTGTAATCTGTGGGGAGGAGGCTGGCTTCTAAGCCACAGGAATGGAGGCATGCATTATACCTTTAATTAAAGAGATAAGGTGTCCTGTTGCCCCACTCTGGAGACATGGAAACTTATGCTCAAACCCCAAATTTATATTTAAAAAAAAAAAAAAAAAAAAAAAGTTTTTTGGAAAGCTAGACAAAAAATAAATAAAAAAAAACAATATTACATTCAAAAGCTAATTTCGAACAATGCATTTTGTGATTGTTCAAGTGAAACAGGACAGTAAAGTCCCTTTAACTGCTGGTTGGGCCACAACTCCCAGAATGCTCTGCCAACCAATTCCCAACAACAAGCAAAAACATTCAAGGTGAAACATAGTGCAGCAGCTGGGGGTCCAAGACTACACCCCTCTGTACAAACACATGGCTACAAATCCAATCTCTAAATGACAAGAAAGCAAGTCAAAAAACATGCAGATTATGGATTGCAGAGTTGTGCGTTCTGCATTACCATTTTATTTTTTTTATTTTTATTTTTTTTATTTATTATCCTAGGGGAGAATTGTTAAGGAAAGAAGTATATGCATATTCATTTAAAAAAACAAAAAACACAAAGACTCGCTACAGGAAGCTTCCTGCTGATCTTGCAATTTACGAATGGCTGCAGGGCTACCTGCCAGCAATGTGTTAATCAAGGGTTTCCCCAAGGCCCATGGAAACAACCTATGTTGTGGGCCCAGCACAAGGGAAGAGATTTTAACAGTTATAAAGTGAAAACCTACCCACGAGGCAGTTCCATGAAATCAAAAGAGAGCTTAGCCACCAAGTTCTCGATAACGGTGTAATGCGAAGGATTCAATGCGAATTTGCAGTGCTGTTCACCAGCCAGGTGCTGGAAAAAAAAATTAAAATAAATGATCAGTATATTGTGCACAATTTATACATCCCACTTCCTGAAACAGACAGAATGTTGGTACAAACAGAATGGAGCACACAACCGGCTTCGTATGAACAAGGGTCTTAGATCATGTTGCAAGCAACTATCAAAATTTCAAACATGGCTTAAAAAGGGGTTCTAACACTTCAAGATTTTAATATTTTGTTAGATCTAAAAATGTAAAATTTCTCACCAATTTTTAATATTATTGCAGAGGTTTTTTTTGTTTTTTTTTATACAATATTCAGCAAATACAGGACATACTTGAAAACGAGAGAAATCTCAATGTATCTTTCCTGGTAAAATATTTTATAAATAAATAAAATAAATTTTATTATTTTTATATTTCTTCAAATAATTTTTTGTTTAATTGGTGGACAGCAAGCTCAATCCCATCCCTACCCTAGTCTACACCGCTCACAACTCCTCACCTCATCAAGTTTTGAGAACATCTTTTCACAGCATTCACAGTAGCCTCTCCTCCTCTGAGCCTGGAGTACTCTCTCCCCTTCCTCCTGTTCACTGGAAGGGAAGATGATGGATATTAAATCTAAAAACCCTACACAGATCAACAGGGCTAAGAATGCACAATGCATATGCAATACACCAACATGCAAAAAATAAATAATCCTGTCTGTACTGAATGCATGTCTAGAAACATCAACTATACTATATAATCCCAGATGAGCAAGAAAAGAAATGTAAAAGAATAAATAAAATTGTAAGCACACATTCACTTTTTGTTTTGGGTAGAAAGTGCAAATTAGTAACTTTTTTAAAAGAATGTCCACATGTTGATATGGATGTGCTAGCCACATAATGAGGAAGCATTAATCTGTGCGAGAATACAAAATAATCAAAATTAAGGTCAAAATAAAAAATAAAAAAACTGGAAGACTACCAAAAGTCAGCTATGCTTCCAGCTGAGCTAGTCTGGAATTAAAATTTGAAATTCACTTTGAATTAACTTTAATAGCCCTGAGAATGTTTCCCATGACACCACTGCCAGCAAAGACCAAATCTCCCGAGCATGAGGATTTTTATTTTATGTTAATGTACTTCCCTACTCTGTTTGTTTAGCCACCTTCAAACTCCTGTTGATCAGCCCAGATACTGCAGTTATTCTGGGAATCGGTTTGGTGGGTCAAACTAGGCCTGGGAGCATAGAGGTCATAGGTCACCAGCCCAAGCACAGAAAAAGAAGAGGCCATGCGCAGTTTCTGCCTGCTGCCTCATCTTGACATTCTCTGCTAACAGGCATCCCAACGTACCTGCAGCTGCTCTTAATCAGAACCACAATATCTGGAAAACATCCTAAACCTGGTCCATATAAATATCACATTTTCTAGTCTTTTCCAGATTCCAAGGGTAAAATTAAAAGGAATATTACCAAAATAAAAAAAACAAAAGGAAGGTCTATTATCACTTCTATCCACATCTAAAAAGGAGTTTAAAGGAAATACAAAGAAACACCATAACAAGAAAAGGCAACAAACCTACAATTACGATATTCTAGGACCAAATGGAGGACTGCTTTCATCCTGTCCAAGCACAATAGCAGCAGACTTATTCATTGAATGAGTGATTCTTGAGTGCCAAACTCATATAAAGCTGGTCTGTCGCCTGGGTAAAAAGTTGCAACTAGTAATTCCACGGTGCAGTATGTATGTACAAAAACAAAAATAGATAGGGGGGGTGGAAAACCTCAGTCTTTAGAGCCTATAATTTGGTCACAGAGAGACTTGCAGTTACACCTTGTTTCAGATAAATGGAGGTCCCCAAAGGTAGCTGCATAGTAGCAGCATACAATACCAGGAACCAAAATAACAAAGTTAAAATAAAATGAGACATACACACACCAAAATTACAGGACCTACACATACCGGAAGCAAGGTGTAACTGCAAGTCCCTCTCTAGGACCTATACTTACCGGAAGCAAGGTGTAACTGCAAGTCCCTCTCTAGGACCTATACTTACCGGAAGTAAGGTGTAACTGCAAGTCCCTCTCTAGGACCTATACTTACCTGAAGTAAGGTATAACTGCAAGTCCCTCTCTAGGACCTATACTTACCTGAAGTAAGGTGTAACTGCAAGTCCCTCTCTAGGACCTATACTTACCGGAAGTAAGGTGTAACTGCAAGTCCCTCTCTAGGACCTATACTTACCGGAAGTAAGGTGTAACTGCAAGTCCCTCTCTAGGACCTATACTTACCGGAAGTAAGGTGTAACTGCAAGTCCCTCTCTAGGACCTATACTTACTGGAAGCAAGGTGTAACTGCAAGTCCCTCTAGGACCTATACTTACCTGAAGTAAGGTATAACTGCAAGTCCCTCTCTAGGACCTATACTTACCTGAAGTAAGGTATAACTGCAAGTCCCTCTCTAGGACCTATACTTACCGGAAGCAAGGTGTAACTGCAAGTCCCTCTCTAGGACCTATACTTACCGGAAGTAAGGTGTAACTGCAAGTCCCTCTCTAGGACCTATACTTACCTGAAGTAAGGTATAACTGCAAGTCCCTCTCTAGGACCTATACTTACTGGAAGCAAGGTGTAACTACAAGTCCCTCTCTAGGACCTATACTTACCTGAAGTAAGGTGTAACTGCAAGTCCCTCTCTAGGACCTATACTTACCTGAAGCAAGGTGTAACTGCAAGTCCCTCTCTAGGACCTATACTTACCTGAAGTAAGGTGTAACTGCAAGTCCCTCTCTAGGACCTATACTTACCGGAAGTAAGGTGTAACTGCAAGTCCCTCTCTAGGACCTATACTTACCTGAAGTAAGGTGTAACTGCAAGTCCCTCTCTAGGACCTATACTTACTGGAAGCAAGGTGTAACTACAAGTCCCTCTCTAGGACCTATACTTACCTGAAGTAAGGTGTAACTGCAAGTCCCTCTCTAGGACCTATACTTACTGGAAGCAAGGTGTAACTACAAGTTTCTGTTTGACACCTCCACAGTTTAGAGCCAACTTATAGGCTCTAGAGAGTGAATTTTTCCAACCACCTCCCCTGATCTATTTTTGTGCATACATACTGCACGATGATACATCTTTATGTTATATAGGTTTTTAAACTACAGAAGACAATCATAATCATTGTTTGCGCTTTTGTACGTGGTCTGTAGAACGTTTATAAAGTGTACGAGTGACAATACACTTTTGGGGTGTTTTGCTGCACTGGACTGTGCTTTTATAAGGGTCTATTTTATCTTAGAGGACCACTATAGGCACCCAGACCACTTCAGCTTAATGAAGTGGTCTGGGTGCCAGGTCCAGCTAGGTCCTAACACGTCTTAACCCTTTTTGCTGTAAACATAGCAGTTTCAGAGAATGTATGTTTTCCTGGCACAATAGTGGTCCTTTAAATTTGCTGTGTTTTTAGCAATTCCATGGACCTGTTTTTGGACTATTCTCCATGGAATTTTCCAGCGCGTACCATCCCAAACACTACACAAAATAATCACAAATATGTCCCAAGTAGGCTACGGCTTCAGTTTGCATATTTTGACCAAAAATTTCAAATTCAAACTTTGGAACGCCACAATATAAGGTTTTATCACAAAATAATTAAAACGTTAAAAACCTCACTGTTGCAATACAGGCATTGATAAACGCACGCACAGAGGATATATAGACAATGCAGGCCTAAAAAAAATAAATAAAAAAAAAATATATATATATATATATATATATAAAAAATAAATTACAGGTATACATGGAGGTTTTGCTCACCCTGGGTCCCGACCCGGGCGGGTACTGTTGCGTGTCTGAGCTGTCTGAAAAGGACTTCTATCCGAAGACACAAACGAAATTTCAGGAAAGCTCGAGAACGTAGAATGTATAGGTCGATACAGTCTGTGAGGAGAGAGTCAAAGGGAACGTAAGAAAGGTTTGAGGAGACGCTACGAGTGGGTAAAATTAGTCACTGAACACTCACCTGCTGTGGTCTTCAATCTTCAAAAACGGGCTCTTCAACTTCGCAACTACAGGACAGAATATAGAAAGAATAATTCACATCATAAGCTTCAAATTTCGTCTGGTTTACTCCTTAGCCCTGCAAAGTAAAACATTGCAGTCTCAGATATACTGCAATGTTAACATTGTAGTGCCAGGACTACCTCTAGTGGCTATCTACCAGACCTCCACTAGACGTGCTTCCTGCTCTTCTACTGCAGGTTCTCCTCTTCAACCAGAGGTTACAACACAGTGTGTTCACTTTAGACATTCTTATCCCCTTGCTCATGCTTGAACTTTAATCCCACACAGGAGGCTGTGGCAGGTATTTAGCTCTAACAGACAATTAACAGAACAGGAAAAAACAAAAAAAAACAAACACACACCTATTTTAAACACAGTGTGTAACAAGAGAAGCTAAAAAAAAATTTACACTCTTTCAGGAAGTGTGACCAACAAAGCAAAAATGAAGTCCTGCGCATCCCGTAAAGGTGTGCGCACACCAAAATTTATTAAGAGGGCATAGTACACAACAGCAGATGTTTTGGGCACAAGCTCTTTTTCAGTGCTAATGACATGACAATGTGCACACCATTACTGGATGCGGAGGACTTAATTTTTGCTTTGTTGGTTGTACTTACACTGTTGGGACAGTGGTGTGGAGTCTCTGCAGCTCAGCTTGTGTACTGCCTCTACCTCATCCTATGCAAAGTGATCAGGAAGGGTGTAGGGAGACTGGGGATGTGCGGCTACTGCTGCATTAATAAAGTGATTTAACTCCTAAATGGCAGGTATTTGAGCAATGAGACTGCAGAGGCATGATCTCTACACCAAAACCTACTTTGTGTGCCATTAAAAAAAAAAAAAAAATGAAATCATAACAAAAAAACAAAAACAAAAAACAAACACAGATTAGAGTACTTACATATTGTAGAGATCTATAGAAATGTTTAAAATACAACATAACCTAGACTTTTACACTCACCTTTATGACTTGGTTTCGTGCAGCCATTTCCTTTCCCCTAAAATAAAAAAAAATTTTAAAAAAAAAGAACTTGGTAAGCGGTCATCATAAGAATTAGGTTTTCATCTCTTCACATTAATATATTTTTTTAATGCACACCTATCACCTCAATCAGTAAAGATCGTTCCGCATTAAACTGTTCTGTTGGTACAGCTGTGCATGCCAATGGCTGACAAGTGAGGGGACACTATTTCAGTTAGAGTTCTATACACTAGCTTGCAGACCGTATTAGACATGACAGGTGTACTGTAGAGTTGAGTCCTTAACTCCACATTTCTCCAAGGAGTCTTCTTTAAGAACGGATTTCCAAAAGTGCACCACACATTTTACGTGGGTGCCTTACTGTTAAATTACATTTTAATCGCGTGAATCAATGCACTATTTCTGTTTTTAAAATGTGATAACACAATTATGTATTACATGCTGCTTTAAGCCAGGCAGCCTAAAAGGTTTATTGAAACCTAATCCACACGATGAATGCAACTTAAAAATACATTATCTTTACCCACTGTGCAAAGAGCTGATCACAGCATCTGGTAGTACATCAGTTAGCTATTCACTAAACAGGGAGTTAACAAGAGAATTCTGGGTCAAAATACTTGGGGGTTAAGGGGGCAAAAAAAAAAAAACCCACACACTTATTTTTATTTTATCTTTACCAGCTATTTTTTATTTTTACATTGTCACTTCAGCAGTTTTTTTGAACACTATAGTGTTCCTTTAAGAACATTGTGAGACAACTTTAATCCCTTAAGGACCAAACTTCTGGAATAAAAGGGAATCATGACACATGTCATGTCATGTGTCCTTAAGGGGTTAAAGACCCTTCCTTATAGAAAGACCAATATTAATAACCAATTTCACATCACGTCATTTTCAGTTTCATAAACATCATTGCCTGTACGGCATCGCACAGCATCTCTTTACTGGCAGAAAAGGCAAATGAGAACCTAATGAGAGCCCCCTCGCAATTACTTTGATCACCACGGAAAACACACAAAAAAAATTAAAAAATAAGTCAGTTGCTAATTTACATTACTGCTAACAGGATTTCGATTGTTAAGCAAACAGTTAACATAAGATAAAATATCAACTTATTGTGCAATACATAAAAAGTCATGCTACAACCAACCACACACATTATGAATATAATTAAACAAAACACATTTTTAAAAACCATGCATTCACAGATCTCACCTTATTGGCTTTGGTGTTGATCCCATTTGTAGAATGACGTCCCAAACACTCAATATACTCCAAGATCTCTTCAGCACAAGTTAAAGATTGTTAATACAAACATAAGATTGCTTATACAACCATTTTTCTGGTGTATTGGGAAACTGCAGTCTCAAAATACCATGGCAGGACATTAATATTTTTACAAAAAATATTTACCAATAGTGATGAATTTGGTCCTTAAAAAGGACAGTGGTGTGCGTTCAGTGTCCCTGTCCCCCTTAGTCCTGCAGTGTAAAACATTGCAGTATTAGAGAAGTGCAGTGCACCACTAAGGCTGCCTAACAGACAGCACTAGAGGGGATTCCTGCTTTTTCACGGAGTTTGACACAGTGAAACGACGAGGGACGTCCTCACACTGTGCTTTCCTAAGGGGGTTTTCCTTGACTCTGGACATCCTCATGCAAAGGCAATGCTTCCCTATGGGAAAGGCAAGGCCTAAAGACATTAGGCCCATAACTTTGGCCAACGTCTGAGGAGTTGGAGCACGACACAGTTCCAAGGGAGATGTTAGTGTTAGGGATACATATTCCTAATACTAAAGTGTTCATTTAAAATTGTGAGAAACGAAAAGCAATCATATGATCACCAACAGATTAGACTCCCCCCCCCACCCATAACTTTTCTACAAAGGATGAAAGAATATATGTATAGTCCTAGCTACTAGACTCAATGTTTTCAAGGTTGTGCAAGGTTTAATGGTGGACCTCTGGTGGCCAACCTTTGCCAAGATTATGAAGAAGTAATAAAAAGGATACCATCCACATGGACAATGGAGACGCCCCAAGAACATGCATTTGTGAGGACATTATTCCGCTCCTGCAAAATATAGAAATAAAAGTTAAATACATGACACTTACAGAGTACAAATCTTCCCGAACTCAGACTTTTGACCCTCCGGTGGAGCAACATACCTGACTCTGCATCGCCTTTTTCAACAGTTGTTTCCCGCGGCTATATTGAGCAGACTGCAATCGGAGACCAAAATTAATTTGTTAAAAGAGCTGTAGAAACGTCAGACACACAAACAGGATTGTACAAAAAGAAAAAGCAGTATTACAATTTTAATCCCTGCTTTATATATTGGGATATTAAGTCCTATACCACTAGCCATGTTTTAAAACTTACTGGCCATTATAAGCCTGGAGGATCAGTCACACTCACTAAGTATGATTTTCTACTTGCCAGGGCTAACATTTTCACTAGAATTAGGTTAGCGGCAAAATGCGAGTCCTATATAAAGCACATTTGTTTCCAGCTAGCAAAAAAAACTAATACAAACAAAACCTGGTCTTCTATGTCCTCACCTCGATCCCTCCACTGGTCTGACATCTGGAGTTAGATGTTCCTTTAGTTGCTGCCGAGTCCTTCCTGGCGTATCCCGACAACTTTTTGTTCCCAGTCACCACATAGGTGATATCCCTGCTCAGGAAGCTCTCGATGACCTTTGCGTGTGGGGGAAATAAAAAGGTAAATGTACATATGTCTTCACATTTTAAAGATAACTAATTGATGCTAAAAAGAAGTACCAGAACTGTGGCTCCCTAAAACGTCAACCGTTTTCGTCTTTAATATTTCATGACGCATCAATACGCATGAAGGGAGACTGTCAATACCATGTCCCAGCCAAGTGATGCCAAATGTGCCCTCCAACCAAACGGATAGAATTATTGTCAAAAAATATTGGTCTATGGCTTGTTTTGGAGAATTATGGGGTTTGTAGAGCATCAGATCAACATCCCTGCCATAGTTGGTGTCCCATATATAATCCAATGTAAATTTATATCTTGCTTTGTTTAGTCTATATTACTACACATCACCCAAAGTGCACATAACTGAATAACTCACAAATCTTTGAAATATAACAAGCAGTTCTTACCCCTCCCAACTGGACGATGGCTTTGGTGAGAATGTCCGTTTGCTTATTGGGCAGAAGATCCAGGTAGAAAGATTTTCCAGAAAAAGAGCAACCATTGAAGTTCCGTTTCATATCCAAAGGTAACCATTGTTCCATGTGCTCCTTCTGACCTACAGAGGAACACACAAGTAGATGCACATTAACTACTTCAGAATCATAACATATGCAAAACATAATCTGTTCATTAGACCCCTTAAAGCAGCTCTGCTAACAGACCACACATTTTAAGTATTTCATAAAGTTAGAATATTAATCAAATACGGAGTTGGAATTTCATTAGAATTAAAATGCAGTCAAGATATCATAAGTGACTACTTTGTCTTATGGTAAAGCGACCAGAGTAGCTTTTGTTAAAGTTGCTAGTGATGTCTGTAGGAAAACTGAATATTATTGTTGATTGTGAGCCTGTCTGTGGAGGATCTCACAATCTCACATCACTGTTGTACTCACGCAACAAAACGGACAACTCATATAATTGTAAATGGGACACTCTCAAATAATTATATCTACATCCACAGCATTCTGGCCCACTACGACCCAAGCAGGGATGTCCCATTTGGAGGTCTTTCAAAATATGCAGAGAAGCAAGAGTGTGAAGAAGCACTCCAAAGCTGTTACTACAAACCTGTTTTTCTAATGGTAGAGATAGCATTGAGGGGCCTACTGCATAAGGACCAATCAGCATCTCCTCAAAAAGATTCATTATTCCAATAAGGCTCTATGGGGAGCGTTTGGCATCTTCATGCAAAAGGCACCAAACCCTTAGTCCTGCAAAGATTGCTGGATCCCAATAGGAAGCAACTGTTGTGGCTGTCTGAGTTACAGTCACTACATGTATCCTTCGAAAGCTTTGTAAACACTGCCTATTTTAGTTTACACTGCAGTTAATAGTTTTTTGGCACCTACACCACTACATTTTTGCATAGACAACTCTATACAGTAAATAACAGTGGGTCATTCTATTTTGATTCTTATGACATAGATCATTAGATAGACATAGATCATTAAGTAGATCTTGCATTCAGAGATACAATGACTCTTCTTCGTTAATGTGGGGCTGTACAGGAGGGATTCCTCCTTCAAAACAGTTGTTATGGGGTGAGGAGTACATAGGTGCAGAGTTACTTAATGAGATTAAACAATTTTTGAATGTTTTAACCTTTAAGTCAGGTCCCAGTTACCAATTGCCCTGTCCTTTCCGCAGCACCTATACGTCTTCCTATGATTCTGCTTGGGCGACAATGATTCAATGAAAGGATCAGCTGACGCTCTTAGCCAATCACTGGCTGCCCACCGTGAGTTACAATAAATACAGAACATTCCGTTGTGGCCTAGATAAAGGATGCAGACTGTGAGGGTGTCAGGGGGCACCTCGTCTCCTTAAAAGATTGATCTTCATATTATGGACAGGAATGATGAACAAGCAGAAAAGGTCCAAAGAAATGCAAGATGACTGCGGTGGTCATAGTTACTACTTACCAGTCTGAATGGAGTTCGGGTCAGCCATGGGCCCTACAAAAGAGACAGAGAAAAAGAAGTTACACATTTTATAGTCTTCAATGTGGGATGAAAGTGACATTCAAATTCGACCTGAAATAAAAGTTGATACTTGTCCGGGTCCATTATTTGTATTCAAATTTCAACTTCATTCACACTTGCTCCTATTCCCATTTAATCTATATTCTAATCTATACTCCAATCTCAAATTTTATTAGCAGCCACTTAAAGAGACAGTACAGGATGGATCCACAACTCATTTTAAAAAGGAACGCACCAAGCACCATAACCACCACCGCATCCGGTAATTGTTATAGTGCATGGAGTGCCCATCCATTTTAGAACTGGTTGACTTCTTACTTGAAGTCCACCGTCACTGCTCCGTGCCTTTGCTACAACAAATATGTCGCAAAGACAGCAGCCACATACAGTGCACAACTTTAATAAAAGGACACTTTGCTGAAATAGAAGTGCTGGAACATTTTCTTTATTGTTCACTACAGCTCAGTGAGAGCAAAAAAAAATTACAAATCTCTTCACTGAACTAAGCCCAGCAGTGCAGAGCGGAGGGCTGGTGGCGACCAGCTGTAGTCGTTGTGGTGCCTGGAATATTCCTTTAACTTATTGCACATCATATTAAATACACACTTAACTTTCTTATTTTGTCTTTGTTTGTACTAATATTTTCTCTCCCAAGATATTGAGTTATTCATTAAATTGCTAGTGGAAAATGAAATACAAATATAAATTCTTACAAGAGAACGGATTTTGGAAAAGCAAACGTCACAATCATTATGCGCCAAAGCGATTTGGACGAGACAAAAACACAATAAAACTCCCCACGGCGCTGATGAGACCCACAAGGTCGAAATTGTACAGTCCATGAATAGCCCGTTTTGGTTTACATCTGTGCTTTTGTATTTTGTCTTAAAAAGCTGTGTTGAAAAGTCAATTGTTAACAGTACCTGGAGAAATGCTAATTGAAGTCTGAATAAAGAGGTCAGTCTGTGCTCATTTGCATGGCAAGCCAAGAACTCTGGAATAGCCCCCCTGAGGTAATGGCACCCAGAGAAGCTGATCACTAGCCCCCCTGAGGTAATGGCACCCAGAGAAGCTGATCACTGCCCCCCCTGAGGTAATGGCAGCCAGAGAAGCTGATCCCTGGCCCCCCTGAGGTAATGGCAGCCAGAGAAGCTGATCCCTGGCCCCCCTGAGGTAATGGCAGCCAGAGAAGCTGATCCCTGGCCCCCCTGAGGTAATGGCAGCCAGAGAAGCTGATCCCTGGCCCCCCTGAGGTAATGGCAGCCAGAGAAGCTGATCACTGGCCCCCCTGAGGTAATGGCAGCCAGAGAAGCTGATCACTGGCCCCCCTGAGGTAATGGCAGCCAGAGAAGCTGATCACTGGCCCCCCTGAGGTAATGGCAGCCAGAGAAGCTGATCACTGGCCCCCCTGAGGTAATGGCAGCCAGAGAAGCTGATCACTGGCCCCCCTGAGGTAATGGCAGCCAGAGAAGCTGATCCCTGGCCCCCCTGAGGTAATGGCAGCCAGAGAAGCTGATCCCTGGCCCCCCTGAGGTAATGGCAGCCAGAGAAGCTGATCCCTGGCCCCCCTGAGGTAATGGCAGCCAGAGAAGCTGATCCCTGGCCCCCCTGAGGTAATGGCAGCCAGAGAAGCTGATCCCTGGCCCCCCTGAGGTAATGGCAGCCAGAGAAGCTGATCCCTGGCCCCCCTGAGGTAATGGCAGCCAGAGAAGCTGATCACTGGCCCCCCTGAGGTAATGGCAGCCAGAGAAGCTGATCACTGGCCCCCCTGAGGTAATGGCAGCCAGAGAAGCTGATCACTGGCCCCCCTGAGGTAATGGCAGCCAGAGAAGCTGATCACTGGCCCCCCTGAGGTAATGGCAGCCAGAGAAGCTGATCACTGGCCCCCCTGAGGTAATGGCAGCCAGAGAAGCTGATCACTGGCCCCCCTGAGGTAATGGCACCCAGAGAAGCTGATCACTGGCCCCCCTGAGGTAATGGCAGCCAGAGAAGCTGATCCCTGGCCCCCCTGAGGTAATGGCAGCCAGAGAAGCTGATCCCTGGCCCCCCTGAGGTAATGGCAGCCAGAGAAGCTGATCACTGGCCCCCCTGAGGTAATGGCAGCCAGAGAAGCTGATCACTGGCCCCCCTGAGGTAATAGCTCAGCTCCCATCATGCTGAGCCAGCCACCCTGTACTCCCAGGCCTGCAGAGCCCCACCCTGCAGTAATAACCCCCTGTGCGGTCTATGTACCTGCCAGCTGTGCCTCCTCACTCCTGTCCCCGCTCTGAGCCGCCTCTCTGGGACGTCACTCGCATTTAGGGATTTAAATGCAGTAACTCCCGCCTACGGACGGCGGCCGAGAGGCGGCAAACTAGTGAGGAAAGCGCTGGCCAATCACAGGGCGACCTGCGCGCATGCTCACTCCCCGCCTCGCCCTCTGCAGATAGCCCCGCCCTCGGCCACGCCTCCTCCTTCGTCCTGGACGGACCCCCAGCCCGGCGAGAAGATGGCGGCGCCCAGCGGCCAGGTGGCGGCCGGGGATTTCGGGTTATGGCTGGAGCAGCGGCTGGAGGAGCTGGGCATGGACCCCGCCGTGTACCCGGCCTACATCCAGGGGGTCCTGCGGGAGGAGGACGACAACCACGAGGAGAGGGACGAGGCTCTCAGGGGGATCCTGGCCGCCTTCCTGGTGAGATTACTGCGGGGCAGCGGGGGGGAGAGGGAGAGCTGGGCTGGGCTGGGGGGGTAGTCTGATAGAATAATAATAATAATATTACTGATAATAAATATAATAATAATACAGTCTGATATAATAATAATAAATATAATACAGATAGTCTGATATAATAATTAATAATAATATAATATTACAGATATAATAATAAATGTAATAACACAGTCTGATATAATAATTAATAATAATAAATATAATATTACAGATAGACTGTTTTTGTGCAGCTTGACAACGAGAGTTCCAATAACTCAGCACTCAGCCAACATATTAATGCTTAAGTTACACTTCCAAACAATAAATTCTGTTTATTTGGATGGCATTTATTGGACGTTTCTTGACTGACAAACTTTTTTAATAAACTGAGTGCAGGCAAAATGGCATTTAGAGTCAGTTGGGTAGATTTGTTTTATATTTATATAAATGTTTCACAAAAAACATGGCTGCCCTCCATGGAATTTTCCATATAGTGAAAGCCACAAACAAGTTGAATAAAGCCCAACTCCATGTCCTATAGCTAAGAGCTCTAGGAAACTACAAGGATCATTTGCCAGAGTACCCAATCTTATACAGCTGTGCCATGACAAATTTACACAAGTCTTTGATCTCACTGCCCTACAAACTGCTGCCAGAGAGCCCGCAGTGCCAAGCAAGTGCAGCATGACTCAAAATGCGTAGTTACATGTTTATTCAGTGTTTATGGTAAATGGTAAGCCTACTCACAGCAGTATAAATTTGTTATTAACTTTTTAATGTCATTCATTGGCGAAGTGTGTCAGCTGATGTGCCAAGCTAATAAATGACCTTAAAATGTTGATGAAAGTTATTTTACTAATGTAGAGGTGGTACTTACACATCAGTAATAAAGTGAACGGAATGTAGAAGTGGAATGTATTCAACAGATGTGCCTGCAGCCTTATGGCTTACTAACTATTGTGCTATCTGGTAGTAGTTATGGTGCCTGGACTGGTCCTGTAAGAGACGGCTGATACTCTATGCCCTTTTGATTGTTTAAAAAAAATATAGTATAAGGAATTATAGTACTCTTGCTTCTTTGTACACTATACTATGGATAGTGCGTAATGCAAGTTTGTGTAGGTTTCTTACAAACCGCTTTTGCAGCAGGCCTGCACATGTTAAGCCTCAAATAGTTCTATCCGTGAGTGAAGCGACACTGCGAGTTACTAGAACCTGTCAGGGGCTGCTATTAAACTGCACCTGTCGTCACACATATGACTTGGTGTCACTTTATCAGGAATCGTTTCAACAATAGATTAATTCAGATGATTAGAACACGAGTAGGCTGAGCTACTCCATTTTTTTCTTAATTTTCATAATTATTATATTCACAGGAAGGTGCAAATAAAGCTTTTTGTTTGCAAATGAAATGACCGTATACCAATCTCTTAGCATGTGCACTCTTTCTAGAAAACGCAGTTAGCGTATCATTTGGGGGTGAGGAGGTCTGATGTTTAACTACCCTTGGATATCATATTTATAGACCATGTATTAATAAAACATTTCCTTTTATGTAAACAGATGTTATAAAGTGTCATCGTCTCTATTTACAGAGTAACAGATACATTTCCATAATCTTTGAGTGATATTTAGCATTGTTTTATTTCTACCTTATTTGCTCATTTATATGTTCTGTATTCAGAGGCTAGTTTTACAATGGCCTCACTCACTGTTTGTTTTCATTCTTATAATATTTTCTTTTAATGCTTTTCCTTTTTAAAGGTTATGCTGTAAGTCAGGGGTTCCAAAAAGGTAAATCCCCAGATGTTTTAAAACAACAGCTTCTGTGATGCTTTGTCATTCTAAAGACATGCAAAACATCATAGGACTTGTAGTTCTCCAACATTATTATTATATTATTTATATAGCGCCAACAAATTCGGTAACGCTGTACAATGGGTGGACTAACAGACACATAATTAAGATGAGACCACTGATGTACAGGAACAGAGGGGGTTGAGGACCCTGCTCGATGAGCTTACATGCCAGAGGGAGTGGGGTATAGTGACACAAAGGGTTAAAGTAGGGGAATTAAATAGTTTGTTACATCTGGGGATCTATCTTTCTGGCACCCCTGCTCTAAATTATCAACAAAATGTCACAGCCCAATAGTGTATTGATACTATAACTATAACGGGCTAAATGTGCCTTGTGATACAGAAATTATCGGATTGTGAACTTGCAATATTAATTTCAAGTCAATAACTTTCATTTTCACAGGAAGAAGATTCAATAGAGGAGGTGTGCCTTGAGATTGTTACCAAATGGTATGAAACTCAGAATTCTGGCCCTGCACAGCCAAAACAAGAAGGTAAGCAAGTAGCCAAACACGGGAATGTGCTATGCTTCACTGAACACCTGAAGCAAAGCAGGACAATTAAATGTCAGGAAATAACGATCTAATGTATTATTTATATAAGGACAAATTAATTGCAATACAGCAAGGCTGGGCAGCAACAACATTTGCAGGCAAAATCCTTGGATTTTGTGTTTGCTATGTCTCTGTTGCCAGCCAGGTCATCCTCAGCAGAGCACGAGTTAGATCATTTAGTCTGCATGCACAGTGGAAACATAGAGATGGTAGCAAGGTCAAGTAAGTTTGGTGTGCTAGATTGTACAAGGAAGCTAATATTACTCTGCAACTTTAGGGTCTCTGGAACAGGAATGCAGGATTTAAAAATGCATATACAAATACAATGAGCCAAGAATACGCTGAATTCCTAAATTTAGCTCATTGATTATACTTCAGTCTCGGGAAGGCTGTAAATTATAAAACAGACACTCGAGGAGAGTGGAGTAAGATGAACAGATTTCTTTAGACTATCAAGACAGACAGCCCGAGTCAGAGCAAGTGGTCCTATCAGGATAGATTTAAACTAGAAGCCCAAATATGGTGTAATGAAAGTGATATTAAACGTTGTAGATGAATTCCCTCCGTAGGCTAAAGACAAAACGAAAAAAGTGATGTTTACATACATGAGTACTGTCTATGGCAGCCCAGACATAATATTTTAATCTGTGCTCAGCATTGTATGGGTTTTAAGTATACGAAGTTGTGAAATGATGGATTTAGGAAAGTGTCTGTTAAGAAATAAAATGTGTTCTTTGGAAAAAACAAAAATGTCTGCTAGGTGTAATCACATTGTGCTGTGTTTTTCTACCCAGATGAAGTACAGGCTCTTGCCAGCATGATTGAGAAACAAGCCCAGATTGTAGTGAAAGCCAAGGAAGTGTCCGAGGAAGAGCAGCAAAGAAAGGCAGCCCTCCTGGCACAGTATGCCAACATCACAGATGATGAAGCATATCCTTTGCTTTTGATTCAAGTTATTTTTTATGTATATGCTTTGAAGAGTTGTGTGCTCTCTTTACTTATTTACCAGATGGTTCATATAAAGGTTCATGCAAGCTGGAAGAGTTATACCATGTGAGAATTTAGGGTTGTCAAAACTGTACATAAAGTCTTTTTTTTTTTTTTTTTTGAATTCTTTAAACCAAAGCAGTCAGATTGTCTGGATTCATACAATTTATTAAAAGTATGTCTAATCTGTGATATCTATGAAGGTAAGCCAAAGGTCCATATTTAAAAATATAAATTGTGTAGGGGAAAAGAGAATCTTTTCTCTTTGAGCACGGGTGTAGATAAGATTAATACATGCATACCGCCGGATTGCTGAAAGTCTTTAGGACACAGACGGTCAGAAATTTTGTATTGACTATTTGATAGTGCTGCAATAGATACATAAGGTGAGTGAAATGTGATTCTGGAGTTTTTCTGCCATTTGGTCCAATGTGGATCTTTTATTGATATGTAAATAAATGTAGTTTGTTTTTAAATAGTCCTATCAGATCTCTTTATAGACTTCTATTTTCTGTTCAAGGATGTCACCATTTGCAGTGATACACACTAGAGCTCTATCTTTATAACCAGCACATATAAAAAAAGTTTACACTAGATACAATACGTATTTTGTTTTTAAATGTGAAGATGCTAAGAATGGAAGGAATTAAGTGCCTACATTTAAGCATAGTTTTTTGTACTGGGTAAGATTTGCTGCATATATTCAGTTATTCTTTAGTACTTTTAAACACTCTACCTAATCTTAATCTGTGTGATTATTTTTGTCAATGTTTGTGATTTCCATTCACTGTGTACTGTGTGGCTGTTTTTGAAATCCTGCTTCGTCATAATACATAGTTCTTTATTAAAGTGATTCAAACTGAATCTAAAATGTAAGTTCATAATAGCCATGCTGGTAACATTTTATAGTGGGGTTTTTATTCTAAAGTAAAAATTTGTAAAGTGAATACTTGTTGGTGTTATTTGCTAAAGTGAGATCAAATTTAAAGGAACACTATAGGTTCCGGAACACTGTGACTTGAATTTGTTAAATTCCTTAACTGGTTCCACTGAAGAGGAAGAAGCGGATGCTCCCTGCGCTGCTGCTTTCAACCCCGAAAAATGTATCCTTTCTGTGACATAATTTAGTAAAGTAATACCTTTCCTTTTAAACTCAACTGCTATACTGATAGCAGAACTTTTCGTTTTTCAGATAATTCCTCTTCTTAAAAGCCTGTAATTATTGCACACCCTAGTGGGTTATATCCTTGCTCATCTGTGAAGGCAGGTCAGACTCCTGTTTTAGATTGCATTTAGACCCTCGCTATCCCCAGCAGCAGCCGGTAATTTGCACACTCTGGGGGACAGAGGGTGAAACATTCTGAGTTATTCAAAACATTTTCACAAATTAAATTTGAATGGAAAAAAAACAGAAGCGGTGACTAGCTGACCTGGAGATTTGTTTCCTAATCCGCTCTTATCGCTCAGTTTTTCCCATTCAGATTTGTGTAAATAACCCAGTCAATGTCCAGGGCTCAAGGCAGGTTCCCCAATCTGAATTTTTTTTTGTCAGGATAAGTAGATTGGGCTACCATTTCAGTCTCTTAATCAAGTAGATTTTTATTTTTTCAATTTCCACACCCCTGACCAGAAATGCAGAGCTAGACTTTAGTAATTGCTGTCCTAAGGAAACTTTTTTCAGAACCAGTTGTGAAATGAAAAGTCACTTCCATTTTATATTAAAAGGGATTGTTTTATTATGCTGAAATAATGTGGATAGAGAAAAACTGAGCAAAAGAAGGAGCAGAGTATTTGCAGCTGAACGAGTCTTGGATCATTTGTTGTGTTGCAAGAGTCTGAACAAATATGGCAGTTCTGTTTATCCACATAATTTATTAAACAGGTGCCAGGTCCTACAACATATACAAGATAAATGATCAGAACTCTGCACATATCTCCATACATGAGATCCAGATTATCAGTCTGACCACAGATTATAAAAATTAAAGTGTCTCTGATGTAGGTGTTTGTAGAGACTGGATATTTCATGTACATAAGTCAATTACAAGAATCCATAAGAAAGAAATCCGATACCACCAGTTATTTTCAGGTAGCTTTTATAATTTGTTTCACATTTTGAATAGGATTGGACCTTTAACTAGTTTCCAGCTCTCTTTAAAAACACCAACCTTGAAGATGTGGTAAATGCAAAGAAGCTTGAACGTGATGCCTTAAAAGATGCATCTCAGAAAAAGAAAGACCAAGACAAGCAGCAAAGGGAGAAGGACAAGTTGGCCAAGCAGGAACGCAAAGACAAGGAGAAAAAGCGTACACAGAAAGGCGAGCGAAAACGATAAACTCAATGATTGAAGACTCTGGCTCGGGCAGGGTTATTGGGGAGGAAGACTTTTGAGAGTACATCCCTTGCAATTGGGGACACAGGCCTTTCTTTTCTTTGAGTATTGATGGGGTCCCTCAGGAACTGATCGCCTGTCCCACATCCACTGGAAGTGGGTTGTTCTCTACCAAGAGAACCAGGCTCACATCCATAGCTAGTGAAGAACTGACATTGAATACAGGTGTAAGAAGATGATGCTGCACTTGTTTGTGGTTGAGTGCATTCGGACTTACAGAATGTCATAAAAGTATCTCTTGTCCAGTGGATTGAATAACAATGCATTTGCCCTATGGGGATATGCTGGACTAGTTATGTATTACTTTGGCTATCAGAAGGGGTTTAACGTGTGCTAGCCTTGGCAAGATGATTAAAGGTGCCAACTGCTCTCCATGATGTGTGACCTATTTTCCATTCCCCTCAGCACTGAATGAAAGATATTTATACAATTTGTATATTAATGTTTCAAATAAACACTGCCCGGCGAACTGATTTGTGTCTGGAGACTATTTCATTTGGGGAGAGCAAAACCACTGCAGTTTTTCATTTGTTAGCATAATTATAGATGCGGAGAATGATGGCAATTCACAGAGTAGGAAAATTAGTCATGAGGCATATGATTGCTTACACTGAAACATACAAGTTTAATTTTGTGTTTTGTCCATTGTAAAGCTTTTTTTAAAGGGTTACTCCATATAAATGTTTTGAGTTTAACCATTCCAGTCCTGCCCCCCACCCACCCATTAAAAAAATAAAGCTATAACAAATGTTCTCTCTGATCCAGTGGCAAGTTTAAATTCTCACTCAGGCTGATTCCCCTTCACTGATGTCAATCACACTAGCTGATAAGCATCTCCAATTTTGTAAGTCTTGTGAAGTGTTTCCAGCATGCAAGAGTTAGTACCTACCAAAAGTAATGATGTGAAGGACAATCGGTGATCCGCCGTCGGGGTCATGGGCGCCCAAGGCTCATTGATGCATGTAGAGAGCAAAGGCTAGCTTAAGTCACGTGTGCTGGTGGTGCAACTTGTCCGCAGCACTCAGCTGGAGATTATGCTAGTCTTGGTGAATTAATAATCTAAAGTTTATTAAAGACCGGAGGCAAATATTTGCTTAGACCTTCTTAACTGACACCTCCCGCAGCACAGAAACCGTATAAAGCTAGTATTAAAAACTAAAATAACAATCCACGTTAAGATGGAATATAAACCACAATATCCCCCAATTCCACTTTCTTTAATGAGATTGAGCAGGAGAGCAGCACACTCAGAAGAATAGAAAAATATGCATCAAACACAGCAGAACATTAACCATTGGAATCCCAACACGTTACAGATCAAACTGAAACCATTAAAGTTAACTGTATTGCAAGAGAGTATACATAGCAATAAGGCTATACATGTCAATATATTCAAATACACATGCAATAAATTAAACAAAGAAACATGCAGAAGAGTAGAAAACATCATAGACGTAACCACCCCAAGACAAAAACAAAGTATGGGAACGGGAAAGACAAGGGGAGGGATATTCACCTCCTGACTTTAATAACATTTATATTATTTGTTCACCAGTGCTAAAATAATCCTGAAATTTACAGCCAGACAGGAGGCTTCATGTTTGCATTTTTAACACCTAGAAACAGAAGCAAACAAAGTATGTGGATCAGGATAAAAATGTCAGAAAAGCCAATTCCAGAGACCATTCAGACGCCGAGATTAAGAATCCACCCGGTTTAAAAGTGCGTACGTAACAAATCAATAGTTCGCCAGAAACACCTTTTAGGAGGAAAGAAAAGCAATCAACATATAAAACACGAATAACAGAAACCCGGCAAAACGAGACTATACTGTTTTGCCGGCAACAAATGATCATTGTCTGACCATTCTTCCAGGACACAGAGAACTCCAGAAACGTCCCAAAAGGAAGCCTAGCCAGACAGAGAAGGTCTAGTCAAATGAAATCCCGAAAAGACAGCGCATCAGAAGACAACCCACACCAGAACCCCGAAGAGAAACATGTGCAGAGTGAAACATTTTAATAGTCCTGCAGGAGTCGCCAAGGGAAAAAAGGTAAGAAAGGAATTCAAGACAGCCACAACAGTGGCCATAAAAGAATCCAACTGCCATTTCAAACACCATTTATGCCAAGGTACTCCAGGTATGCAGTAAAGGTTTCCTAATACCCAGGAGTAAATACAGAGACGTTAACAATCGATCTGGCACATTCCATGATCCCTGGAAATGGTCCGGGCCACCAATGGGAGATGATCCTCTAGTATCATTGGATGTGGGAAAGAGCAGGGAATAGTCACAAACTAATTCCAGAAGAGTTTGGAATCAAGGCTGAATCCTCCATAGCACTAAATAGTATTACTTGCAATCTTGGCTCATTTGTGCACTAAATAGTATTACTTGCAATCTTGGCTCATTTGTGCTCAAATGAGCCAAGATTGCAAGTAATACTATTTAGTGGAGTGACCCTCGTTATTATTGTCTGTTCATTTGGTGGCTCCTGACCTCGGCTTTGGCATCACGTTTGCATGACATCACACGCACACACATCACTACGCACGTACGGGTGCTCGGATCGGCTAATTGCAGAGAGAGACTGTGGAGTTGTTTGCAACACCGGTAGTAGATTATCTCATCAAGCATCCATTGTGTGCGCAAAACCACCTTTCCTTGTATCCATTTGTATTAATGTAAGTGTTTTAAGGTGACTCAAACACTGGTTTGGTTTTAGACGCACTGGGATTTGTTTATTTATTTATCTTGGTTTAGCGCCACTTATCCTACTGTTTGTGTTTGGATAGTATCTTATGATACACAACTTGATGAAAGAGCTAGTGAATTCATGCAGACTTTCTCTTCCAGAGGGTATGATGAGAATGTATTATCATAATGCAGAAATAAAGTCAGGTCTTTAACACAAACAGCTTTTGAACAAAAGGGTTAAGAATGCGAGCAAATGGATTCCATATGTGGCCACTCAGTCTACCTGGAAGAGGTGAAACATAAATTGATTAAACATTGGGCAATCTTGCAGTCTGATCTGAGGATGGCTTCATGTTTCAATGTGTATTTAATATAGCATTAAAGAAACACCTGATTCCCAAGATGAACATAGAATCATAAAATGTGATGGCAGATAACCATTCAGCCCATCTAGTCTGCCCAATTTTCTAACAAAGAAAGGTTAATGGAACTTAACATGTATAGCTTGTTGGAAAGATGAGACGGGGGATATGATAGAAACATTTAAACACAGTAAAGGAGGAGACTATATTTAAAAGAAAAAAAAAACTACCACAACAAGAGGACAGTCTTAGATTAGAGGGGCAAAGGTTTAAAAATAACAGGAAGTATTACTTTAGAGGGTAGTGGATGCATGGAATAGCCTTCCAGCTGAAGTGGTAGAGGTTAACACAGTGAAGGAGTTTAAGCATGCATGGGATAGGCATAAGGCTATCCTACCTATGAGATAAGGCCAGGGACTAATGAAAGTATTTAGAAAATTGGGCAGACTAGATGGGCCGAATGATTCTTATCTGCCATCACATTCTATGTTTCTAAATACTTTCATTAGTTCCTGGCCTTATCTTATAGCTAGGATAGCCTTATGCCTATCCCACGCATGCTTGAACTCCCTCACTGTGTTAACCTCTACCACTGTAGCTGGAAGGCTAGTCCATGCATCCACTACCCTCTCGGTAAAGTAATACTTCCAGATACGTATTTTTAAACCGTTTCCCCTCTAAATGAAAGACTATGTCCTCTTGTTGTGGTAGTTTTTCTTCTTTTAAATATAGTCTCCTCCTTTACTGTGTTGATTTCCTTTATTTATTTAAATGTTTCTATCATATCCCCCTCCCCACCCCCCCTCATCTTTCCTCCAAGCTATACATGGAGGGCGAGCGCTACCATCAGGCGGCCGCCTTGTTACGCACCGGCCCAGGGGGGCGCGATCTGCGGGTGACAGTCAGGAGGAGAGCACCCTTTGCAGGCTCCTCATGAAGGTCAGTGCATGTAGCGTGGCAGAGCTGGTGGACCGCAACCTACCCGGTCTGACAGGAAATACAACAAGCTATCCAGGAAACCGGATCCTCCGCAGAATGCCCACTCAGCCACATGGATGGAGGTGCGGGGGGCACAATGAGAGGTACGGAGGACAACGAACAATAATAATAGGTACAACGGGGGTGGGAGGGAAAGACAATAAGTAGATAAGCGGGGGGAACAATAATAGGTAAAGGAGGGGAGGGGGGCAATACATGATACAGGAGGGGAGAATAAACAATAATAAGTACAATAGGGGGGGGACAATAATTGATACAAGAGGGGAAGGGGTGGTAATAAAAGTAACAGGAAGAGAGGAGGAACAATAATAGATACAAAGGGGGTGGGGGGAAAGACAATAATAAGTAGATAAGCGGAGGGGGGGACAATATATGATACAGGAGGGGAGGGTGAACAATAATAGGTACAAAGGGGGTGGGGGATGACAAATAATTGATACAAGAGGGAAAGGGTTGGTAATAAAGGTAACGGGGGGGGGGAGGTTGGCAAAAAAAGTAACTGGAGGGGAGGGGGATCAATAATAGATACAAAGGGACACATACAATAAAAAGTACCGGAGGGGGATGGGGAGGCAATTAAACGTTTCAGGAGGGAAGAGGGAACAATAATAGGTACATAAGGTGAGAGGGGACTATGAAACATACAGGAGAGGAGAGAGGGCAATGAAAGGTTCAGGAGGGAAGGGGAGGACAATAAAAGGGAAAGGAGGGGAATAATGAAAGGCACAGAGCTGGGGGACAGAACGACACAGAGGGGGACAAAGACACACAGAGGGGCTGGGGGGGAAAAAAAGCCACACAAATGTGTTTGGAAAAAGAGCCACACAAAGGAGCTGGGAAGAAAGACACAAAAAGAGCAACAAAATGCGTCATCGCCTGTGTAGTCAAAAATCCTTGCACTGGCCCTGTATCTTAAGTTCCTTCAACCTTTCCTTGTACATTTTATCCTGTAATCCATGAACCAATTTTGTTGCCCTTCTCTGTACTCCAGCCAAAGTATCAATATCCGTCTGAAGATATGGTCTCCAGTATTGCGTACAATACTCCAGGTCTTACCAATGTTCTGTACAATGGCATGAGCACTTCCCTCTTTCTACTGCCAATTCCTCTCCCTATACAACCAAACATTCTGCTAGCATTGCCTGTTGCTCTATTAGATGGTCTGCCTACCTTTAAGTCATCTGAGCCAATTACCCGTAAATCCCATTCAGATGGACATGTTTTCTAGCTGCTCCATCAAATTGGAGCTACAATTCTGCTTAAATCACTTAATACAAAACTAGAAGTGGATCAGAATACATAGATTGGTAATCTGACAAAGTTTTGATGGCTGCCTCGGAGCAACTTTCACTATGCTGACCAGACCCTGAGAAACAGACATGGATGGACTGCTTTGAAGCTAAGTTTGAGCAGCTGTGTCAGGAATTCTGGCAGCATTTCAGCCAGCAATCTAGTAGTCTTACGTCACGTGTCTCACAGACGAATCGGGCAACCACTCCAGCTCACCGATTCTCCTCTGGGCTGGGGGCCCATGTGGAGCTGCATCCACCCTGCGGTCCACACACTGAAGGAGCTCTCCTCGTTCAGGAGGCCCTGCGGGCTCGTGATCCTGCCACTTAGAGCAAGAGAATCTCTGGACACATGGAATTGGCTCCAATTAAGGCCTGTGCTCAAGGTGGTGAGAACAGCTGGCACAGTAGTCTGAACCTATTACACATATGTGTAGCTCAGATGTTCTTTCAGCATTTGAAGATTGCAAGCGGAGGAGCAGTACTCGACACATGAATGAATATGGGGCAAAGGTTGAATATAACCAGGCAGAGTTTTTACATATTCCAGCGTTATCCTTTATTACTGCAAAGTTCTTTGTTTCTTTATTATTAACCATGTTTTTAGTATTCGGCAGAATTACAGTGTCTTTATTCTAATCTATTTGGCATAGCGTGTATTCATAATACTGTGCAACTCTTAGCTGACACTACTCCTATGATAGTCTGACCATACAGACATGGTTTATGTTCTATATGTTACACTCAGTATACCAGTATAATGACCTACAGGTTTCACCCCAAATGTGACAATGTAGGCTTTTAAACCTCTCTAACCTTGTGTACTCAGCTTGACCTTATGCAACCCTTAGCTCTCAACGACTCTTATAGTTTTCCAATTTTATTGACATATGTTTCTGTTTATGATTTGTGTGTCATTTTCTAGTTACCTAGTAGCAAAATGTTGCACTTCAAATGTGGTGGTTCATGCTCCTTGAATTATTGTTTAAATATGCAAATGCTACAATAAAAAAAAAAAATACACACAATGGTGGGTATTGATGCTAATGAATAGTTACAATACAATCACAAAATACAGTATGAAAAAAACCTTGTCAAGTATTACAGGGTTTTTCACCAAAATGTGAATTGTGGGAATTCAATGTGTATTTCAAATTTTAAAAATAGCTGAATTAAAAAAAATTCCCAAGTCAGCTATGTTGGCCTTACATTTTAAATTCTTATTGTATTCCAGACAAATTTTGCTTTAGTGAAGAACAGTGATCGAGCCCTGCATTTATAAAATTAAACACAAAAATGGAGGGGACGGAGGGCACTTTGTAAGAGATTATCAAAATTACTTGGGGAAAAAAAAGATTCCAAAAAACTCAATACAAAGGAAAATGCATTTTGAAAATTATTGGTACAATAAACAATTATTTAACAAATAAAACCAGACTTCAACATTTTCAAATAACCATGAAATATTTATTTAAAATTGTTAACAGTACACATTATACATTAAATTCAATTGCAATTCACTCAATGTTGTCTAAACATATCAGTTTAACTGTTTTACTCAAACAATACTAAATACTGCATCTCTGCCGTGAGTACTTCACTCACTAAGGCAGGTGACTGTATGAATCAATGATCAAGCTACACTAATGGTACAGAGTTCTGCTTTTTAACCACTCTGGTTAACTCTGCAGTGTCAAAAGATATACTTTTTAAAAATTCAGTCAGTTATCCTACCTGAAATTGATAACTGGAGCAGTTAAATTTGGAATATTGAGGAGTGATGCGATAGAGGTATTCTCATTCAATAAGTTATGTGTTTCATATAGTTTATATGATAAATGCAGTATAAGCACAAATTATCAAGTGTTGCAAAACTGGGGTTGGGTTAACATAAGTGAAAAAAAAATAGCACAGAAAAAAAAAATGTATAGTAATGCTGCAACTGCAAAAAAAAAAAAAAAACATGGATTTTAATTGTTCCGATTCCATTTTAATCGGATTTTAAACTGCAACATTTTTAAATAAAGGAAAAATAATATCTTAGAACCTATTTTCTAAATTATGCAAAACTAAATGAATTAATTGGGTGCTGTCATTATTTCTGTAAATTATCTATAGAATGACTGTTCAAAAGTATAAGATTTTTGATTATTTTGTTAAATATTTTAAAACTAGTAAAATGCAGCAAATGGATCTGCTTAAGGATCACTTACAGCTGTGTTCAGCTTATTAGAAGCAATATGTAAATTAAAATCATATTTTCATTGTAATTTACTAACCTAAAAAAAAAAACAACTCATCCCAACATGAAGAGAAAAAAAAAAAAAAGACGCAACACCAAATTGTTGTTTAAAAATGAAATTGCAATATTTAGCCAAATGCTACAGTGGTGTTTGAGATTTTTCCAACTGTGCTTCTTTTGCCTACATTTTGCAATTCAGTTTTCGATTCACTTAATTTCAGTGTTTTGTGAATAAACAATATATACACACACTCACACATATTCTTCATTCACAGCTCTGGAGATTCAAATTATGTTCTGCAAATATTAAGTACAATAAATACGTCAATGCTTTAAATTATTTTGTATGTGAGATTACAAGTTGCGATTAATAAATAGAGGCCCAATTCTGCAATCACTGATGGCCTTTGTGAAATCAACCATTAGGGTTCAACAAAACAAACAAAATAAACAATCAAACAAAAATGTACATTCATCATCTGTGTGATCCATTTTAAATAGAGAAGGGATGAGCTGCTATTAATCATATCTCAGCAAGTATTTAAAGTGAAGCTTTCTTCCACAAGACACGTGGATGACAAGATTCCCATCAGTTAGGTATAGATTTATCTATAAGGAGTCAAATCTGTTTAAGAGATTAGCATTATTACAGTTCTACTTCTATAAGCATCAGGGGAATAATTTGATCTGGATACCAGTAGTTCAATTCATTAAATTAAACTAATTATTTTGGGCAATTTGCATGTTGATTAGGTAAGTTGTAATGCAGATCATTAGGAAAGATACTTGAGTCATACTGGGAAACAGAAAATCAAATATTAAAAATACAAATATATGCTAAAATATACACTTGTCTATCTCAATAAAACAAGTGCAGTTTTCAGTCCGGTACATTAGTAGTGTCTACAAACTGCAGTTAGATTTTAAGTTAAGCTTTCACATTGTTCTGATCTACCTTCTCCAGATCCCTGGTGTTATCCTTGTGTTGTGTCTTGAGTAGAGTCATTTGCAGTGCACAACACAGCGCTGTTCGTGTATTGCAAGTAGCCCTGGACAACTCTTTGATGGAGGAAGCAAGCACGAAAAAACCTATGGAGAGAGGAAGTGATGGAAAAAAATAGTAAGTGGAAGCACGATATTGCCTTTTGATACTGTTGAACACACTCAAATTTTGTGACATTGTCCTTTTCTGGTACTCATCTTACCTCTCCCATGGTTACTTTAGTATCTACTTTTTCTGGCCCCTCCTCCCCGCTACCGATTTCGGCTTGAATCCCCCAAGACTGTTTTTGGTACCTTCTTTGTAATTCCGTGATACTGACTCTCTTGAAAACCTTATTACATTTCTTTGGATTTGAGTAAAACAGCCTCTATGCAACATTGCAATTCAGTTTATTTTAATTCTACCTGCAGGTCATTGGAATCCTGCAAGCTAATTGACTTGGGGGTTAATTTTTAGTTTAAGTGACGTGTACCTCCTTTGGGAGGAATGTGTGTTAGTCCAACAATGGGCTAAAATCAAAGATCTAAATTACAGCAGCTCTAAACACTTGTGTTGAAATATCCTCTTGTCTATACCCAGGAAAACCAAAGTCTATAAAGTGGTATAAGTGGAAGCCTATACCTATAAGTGGAGCGCTGAGATATATAAGGGGGTAAACTTACCCCATGTGGTATAACAAGCGTGGTTGGTAATATATGTAAAAGAGATAAGAAACACAATATAGTGCAGATGGTACATGAAAATAAAATGGTTGTGAAAAAGGAACACACACTTAAAGGAGCCTGTGTATATGTACACTGTCTCCGTAATCAAGCTTGTATTCTTTTAAGGCAGCATCACTTCTTCAATCCATGGTATATTGCATCTCAAAAACAAAAAAACATGGAGATAAGGGAACAAATGTGAAGTCTGTTTTAAGGTGATGTGGCAGGTGAAATAAGTAAAATGCTCACCTTTCTCAGAGCCTAGAAATCCTGGCTCTGAGGTATAATATCTTAGTGCCAGTGCCAAAATTTGGGGGGATGGCACTGGCCCTATGTAGATTCAATAGGCTCCAGAGGACTTCTTAAAATATATTAAAATTTATTTAAACAGTTTAACATAGAAGATATAGTAAATAAATAAAATATATAAATAGAAGAGTCCGGAATTTGCCGAAACGCGTTCACTCTTGTACAGCTTCCTCAGTAAGCTGTGGGTCTGATCCTGTGAAGCTTTCATTTTTAAATGTCTTGTAGTTCTTCCCCTCTAGTCACATGTGTTTGTAATTATCCAATAGCAAAGTCCTGGAGACACCTATAATTGTGATTATGATGTGCAGACAGTGTAGTTATGTAGGTTATTGGTCAAAATTTGGCGCCATTTACTACCTTAAATTTCATTGGTGGGCAGTGATGGTTGGCGGAAATGCTTGTCCCGCCGACTGTGGATTAATGTCTTAAAATAGACTGCACATTTGTTCCCTTCTCTCCATGTTTTTTGTCATTGAGATACAATATACAGTGGATTGAAGGTGTGATGCTGCCTTAAAAGCATACCAGTATTTATACACAGGCTCCTTTAAATGTGAGTGTTCCCTTTTTCACCACCATTTCATTTTCATTCTATGTACCATCTGCACTAATTGTGTTTCTTATCTCTTTTACATACCGTATATACTCGAGTATAAGTCGAGTTTTTCAGCACTTTTTCTGTGTTGAAAAACCCCAACTCTACTTATACTCGAGTCAATGTCTGTATTATGGCAACTTACAATGCCATAATACAGACCAGGACCACCGGGCTCATTACAAGCCCGGCGGTCCTGTTGGGGGCTGGCAGCGAGCTGTTACTTACCTTCACAGCAGCTCCTGTCAGCTCCCTTCTCTCTCCTCGGTCAGCTCCCGTCTCCTCCAGTGTAAGTCTTGCGAGAGCCGCAGGGTCAGAGCGTTGCCACGGGTTATTTTTTTTTAATTATTATTTTAATATTATTTTTTGTTATATTATTAATATTTTTTGTTAATATTATTAATATTTTATTTTTTTATTATTTACATTTTTATTTATTTTTTTCGTCCCCCCTCCCTGCTTCTTAGCTGGCCTGGGAGGGGGGCTCTCATTCCCTGGTGGTCCAGCTCGCTGCCAGCCCCCCTCCTACACAGCCAATGCCACTGGACCACCAGGGAATGAGAGCCCCCCTCCCTGGCCAGCTAACAAGCAGGGAGGGGGGACGAAAAAAATAAATAAAAATGTAAATAAAAAAATAAAATATTAATAATATTTAAAAATATATATTAATAATATAACCAAAAAAATTAATATTAAAATAATAATTCTTAAAAAAATAATAAAAATGCCCACCACCCACCAAGGCTCTGCATCACACACACACACACACACACTGTAAATAAATATTCAATTACGGTAATGTAATTTTGTTGGGATCTAATTTTATTTAGAAATTTACCAGTAGCTGCTGCATTTCCCACCCTAGTCTTATACTCAAGTCAATAAGTTTTCCCAGTTTTTTGGGGTAAAATTAGGGGTCTCGACTCGGGTCGTCTTATACTCGAGTATATACGGTATATTACCAACCACGCTTCTTTTCATACCACGTGGGGTAAGTTTACCCCCTTATATATCTCAGCGCTCCACTGATAGGTATAGGCTTCCAATTATACCATTTTATAGACTTTGGTTTTGTACTTTAGTCTAACTTTTACTTCTCATAATATTCATCACTCTCATATATCCTCCATTTGTATGACTGCAACCCAATCCTCATCAGTTTATATTAGTCCTACATTGCTCTGCTACAATCTACAATGAATGCGACCACCAGCTATATCTTTATTACTTGCCAATCCTAACATATGCCTCCTCAATTGACAATCATTACAATGGCTTCCCAAACCCTCAAGTATTATAGTTAAAATACCAAAACTAACCTACAGAACTCTCAACAACTATACATGAAATCACATTCTGTCCTGGATGGGAATGCAAAAGGAACATGCAGATAGCAGTTGGGGATTTATAGCTGTCAGGCATATGACTATGTTCTAAATGTCATTTTCCATGACTGACTTTTTCCATTAGATGTCTTAAATAGTCTAATATTGAACTATTCTATTGCTCCCCAGATCTCATAGGTCGAATACGTTGACTACCTCTGTCATCTTGGTGACGAGATGCTCCTGGTCTCTGGCGGTTTGATGCATTGGTGATCTCGTCTTTGCGATGTGCTTGCACAATGTGAATTGCCTCCAGGTGGTGGTCCAGGGTTGTGGAAATGTACGCACTAAGAGGGGAGCTGTGGAAGCGCTCCATTTTACCAAACAGTGTTGCAACCTGTATTCAAAAGAATGCTTTATAGAAACAAATCATCACTGTATAGTGCCAAAAGTGTTAAACTGAAAGATGGCATGGTAATGTAACAACCACAGGTAAGCTTATTTAAAACAAAAATGCTAAGCTTGAGTCTTATTTTGGTTATAATACTTCTCTATGTATATTAAAAACCACAGTAGTGATGTAATCCCTCACATCACTATATAGTAGAACAAGAATTTGTAGGAATAATAAGTAGCTGTTTCAGATTATGAACACTACTTAACAAATCCTGATATAAAATATAAAAGTAAGAGAAATGTAAGCAACAAACATCTCTCTTGGGTTTACAACTATCTCAGCTGTTTTAACTTCCGTGATTGACTATACTTTTTTTTTTTATATGCTTCCTATTTTATACAAATTCTTGATCTACTTACAGGTTTTTGGGTTTTTTTTTTACCAACGCAAAAGGATGCTTTGGCAAATCTTCTCATAACAGGAAGAGAAATATAATTTTATATATAAAACCAATCATACATTTACAAAATGAAATAAATTTTAAAAAAGGAAACAACCCTCTGATCTCACACACACTACAAAGATATATATTAATGTAAGAAAAGTAAATAGTGAAAGTGAGCATCAAATAAATGTATCCCATTTACCCTGGCTTGTTCACGCAACTGGTCCACAATCAAACGATCGACTCTGGAAGGGTTAGTGCTGAGTCTTGGGATGGGAATGTTGTTTGAGCTGGACACTTTCTTCCCTGGATAATGCTTTACAAGAATCGATTCCGTCTGAAAAGAATACAAAATGTTCAATTAAATATTTTAGGATGAGGATGCTCAATTAAAGGAACACTATAGCATTAGGAATACAAGTATGTGTTCCTAACGCTATAGAGCCCTAGTCACCTAAACAGTGACTCGTGCCCCTTCCGCGGCAAATAATTGGTGAACTAACCAAATGGTTAGCTTACCTTAATCGAGCACCAGGCTCCCTCGGCACTGATGACATCTCCTCCCCCACCAACGTCAGCTCCTAAGTGGAGCCAAATGCGCATGTGCGCCCAGAGGCACATGCACATTCAAACCCGCCAATAGGAAAGCATTACTCAATGCTTTCCTATGGGGATTTTTTTGACGCTGGAGGTCCGTGATGAAGTCCAGTGTCAAATAAGTGCGATTTACTCTATGTCAATCGCAGAAGCGACTCTAGTGGTTGTCAGGGAGACCGCCACTAGAAGCTGGATTAACCCTGCATTGTAAACATAGCAGTTTTTCTGAAACTATGTTTTCAACTGCAGGGATAAAACTAAGGGGACCTGGCACCCAGACCATTTCATTGAGCTGAAGTGGTCTGGGTGCCTATAGTGGTCCTTTAACTCCTTAAGGACCAAACTTCTGGAATAAAAGGGAATCATGGCATGTCACACATGTCATGTGTCCTTAAAGGGTTAAGGATTTTATTTTGACTTTTAACATTGTGTGTAGGTGTAGAATTAAACACAGCTTGGCTGCTCAGCCAGATAAATAATTGAAATTTCATTATTAAAAATAATAATTTAGATGATTTTAAATAGGAAGCATAAATCTGATGGCAGGCAGCTTAAGCTGTGCAGCCACTGTTAACAAGCTGCTGCTTGGAAAAAGCATTAAGGATCCGCACAGAAATTGTATGGAACATTGCACATTTTCCACGGCTGAATTTCCATTCACCAATGGCTTGTGGGAAAGTGGAATTTTGACTCTTGGATCCCAGCATTCCTAAATCTTTACAATGTATATTGACTTTTATTGTGTTTATTTACCCACAATGTAAACTTATTGTACCTTTTTCCTTTCTTTTTCCATTGCTCTCAACTGCTCATAACAATTCTCCAGCCAAATGTGGATTTCACTTTCAGGCATGCTTCTAGATTTAATCGGCCTCTGGCTGAGTACTGGTGTTATGCTACTAAAAGTGGATTCTCCATGAATCAAATCAGCGACATGGGGATACATTTGGCCAAGATCTTCATGAGTATATGTTTCATGACAATCCACGATGGGGAAGACAGGGTGCCCGAGGTTATGTGAAAAATGGGACTTGTAATTGGTAGAAGACACCTGGTTGCATTTGTTAGGCTGCATTTCCCCCATCATAAGTGTGTTTGAAAAGCATCCAGTCTTTGAGCAGGGAAGTCGGCTACTGTTCAGAATAATACCATCACCACTTTGTTGTGTATGACATTTATTGTTAACTGTATTCTCAATCAAATTTATATCATTTTTACATACACTCTCTAAATTCTTCTCAGTACAATACTGCATGTTTTGTTTTCCAGTGCTGTCTAATGATTTATAGTAACTTGGCATATTTTCACAAAATGCACTGAATTTTCTTTCTGCCATGGCGTTAAAAAGTCGATCATCAACATTCTTGCAAGGTCCCCTTTGCATATTCTCTTTACCATTGAAACCATATTCAAAGACAGGAAACGCTGTATTACCCTGACAGTACTTCTGGAAAGAAGTATCCGCAGATGCTAGTGACGAGGGACCTATAGAATAATTAGAATTCTGACAAGAGTTTTTGTTTGATGCGGATAAATTACCACTTGATGCCATCACTGTACTATTACCATAATATGTAAAAGAAGAATTATTCTCGGTGAGACCATTTATCCACGGGGATCTGACCGAATTAGCACCTGGCACAGATGAGACAAAGTAAAACGGTTTGTAGTCTGAATTTTGTGAATCTTGTTGGTGCAGTGTATGTTGGCTACCAGCAAGTCCAATGTTTCCTTCCAACATAGTGGATGCTTTCGGTCCATAGTCTGATTTGGTGCTGAAGTCAGATGTGAATGAAGAATCCTTTTGGTAAACTCTGTCTGACAACATTGCCTTTTGAAATTGGTAATTCTGTTGCTCTGGCATGATACTATCTTGTTTTGGGCAGCTTGCTGCCACTTGAAATAACTTGGAGTAGCTGTTGGTATCCAAACCTGGCAGCATGTTGCCATTTGCTGCCTTTTTGTAATCTTGAAGGTTCAATGTGGAAAATTTACCTTGCTTTGTTTTATTAGAGTTTAAAAAGTCATACTGACCAAGATCTGTGTCAGTGCTGTATCTATCAAACTGAGAAAGGTCTGTTCTCTTTTGTGAATTGTCCTTACTAGCTTCAGGAAGAGCTGCTGAAAATCTCAAGCCATTCTTGTCAAATGGGTATTCATGGAAAGCCAGTTCAGACTTATCATTGCAGGAGCTTGCATTATTAGTTATGCAAGAGTATAGCCATTGATCATCTTGCACTAAAACGCTCAGTCCATCATAGAACTCCTCCATTTTCTGTGTCTCCGTGCTTGATATGTTCTCATAAAAATTATTTGGCAGAACAGTCATGTCTGCAGGTTTTTTAAGGTCTGGCTGGAAATCTTGATGCTCACATAGCCTGTTTCCATTCAAAGACCACACTGATTTCACAATCGAAGGTGAAACTCTACAAAAGAAGCATAGAATATTACAACAGAAAGAAACTTGCTACATAAAATTTTCTCAACGTACTGTTTTTAGGTAAAGGACCACAGTATCACTTTCACCTTGTACGTACCCTTTTTTAATTTAAACACACTGAATAAATGAATTTATTTTAACTAAAAGTTTTCAAGTAACTATTAAGTGAATGGACCCCAAAGATGTTTCCATATGTTTATTAAAAGAACAGAAGTTTGATAAAGATTGAAATCTCAAATAAAACAGCAGACTCTCAAAACCCTCACATATCTGGTTTATGATGTAAATAAATTTTAGGGAGGTGCAATATCACATGGTCACTCATGTCTTGAGTGGATTCAGAAGGCCCTTGGTTAATTATTTAACATTTTTTGTTATGACTGTAATTTCTGCACGTTCCCACCATAAATTCAGGCAAAGAGAGAATTATAAACACACAAATTTAAAGGTAGAGGGTAGTTGGTGTTTGATAAATGCTCAAATTACATATTTTTCACAAGATTTTGACCTCTCCTTAATTAATTTTATTGGTGACCAATGAATTCTTTAGAATTGTAACTCTATTTTAGGCTAATGTCTAACTTTGATTTTGTGAATATTCTATAACTGAATAAATCAATCCATTACTTAAATCCCAAGTGGATTAATTAGTTTAGGCATAGATTAGCAGGACACATTTGTGCACCAGTCTAGTGAATTCCAGAATTGAGATTGTCTTCACAATTTGCAATCTGGGATACAGGTAGACCTAAGTGAATAATGTTAAATGTTATGTATATTTTAGAGATTGGAAAATCGTTTATTCAAATAAACAAAAATAGCAAATTTGTAAAAGAAGCAGCAGAGGATATATACATCCATGCTGAATAATTATTACACTGCTGGAAACGGTGAAGCAAACCATGATTTTCAATACCATCCAGTTTGACTGAGCTACGTGCAGCATGGCTAATGGAAATGTAATTTGTTTTGTTTGGTACATTATATAGCTAATTTTTTTTTTTAAATGTGCAAAGTGTCCCTTTTAATTTGGGTAGTACAGCAGAATTTGCATTATGACAGCAGTTCCAAACCTGTGGTATGCATACTCCCAGGGGTACGCAAAACAAAATTCCACAATGACAAAACTGACTTCCGCATCCACTTGGAAATGGAAGCCACCAGCCAATGAGGAGCATAGCATCCACAAGTCAACCCTCTCCAGCCGCCAGCCAATAAGGAGCGCTATTGCCCCTCTCCAGCAGCCAGCCAATTTAAGTCCAGAAGGTGGATGAGGGCACTTAATGGATTCACCTCTCAATAAAATTCAGTAATGTAATATTAAATCAGTTTTTAGAGTTATATGGGGAAACGTTCTAACTCCGCTTTCTAGGCTGGCACCTGAGCTCACCATGTAGTTAACCCAGCTATTGAGTAAAGAAGTGTTGAAGCTGACATGCAAACAGTTCTGATGGGTGAATTGGGCATTTTATATACAGTAATCTTGGACTGCCATGTGGGTAAACTTTCTAAACTCTGCATCATGGAGAAAGTCCCATCTTGCCACAGAGTGCTTCACTGTTCCCATTCCCGAATGTGTACCGTTCCCTAAATGTCACCTTTGATCAGTTATGTCTGTTTTGGTAGTCTCATTTTAGTGAATAACCCTGAAAGATTTGTTTACATCCAAAACTTGAACAAATGAGCCTGGGGCAGAGTAGAAGCAGGGGAGCCTGGGGCAGAGTAGAAACAGGGGAGCCTGGGGCAGAGTAGAAACAGGGGGAGCCTGGTGCAGAAGAAGAGCATGGGAAGAATAGGGGAGCCTAAGGCAGAGGAGAATCTTGGGAGCATGGGGCAGTTGAAAACAAAAATAATATAGTTGGTATTTCAAATAAGTTAATTACAAACATTTTGCCAATATGAGGGGTATACTTTATGGAAACGCGCTGCCAGGGGGTATACAAGTGGAAAAAAAGTTGGGAAGCACTGCATTTGGACTTTTGTTTTCTTTGCATATAAAATGCAAATACACATATGAAAAAACTTTTTATACCACCAATTGGATGTATTTTAAATGCCGTCCAAATATTTGGCGACAGTTTTTCCACCAGAAAAGTGTTGTGGGTCACTTATGTTTGCCACTCTAAATTTGGTAGTCTTTTGTGCAGTGGATTTTTCTGCAAAAACAAAACATAGGCAGAGAAATACTGACCCTCTTTAGACCACTTTTCAAACAATTAAAAAGAATTAGAGACAAAAAATAAAAGGCAAATTTTAAAAGACTGATAATTCTCCCCCTCGATGTGAAGATTTAATTGCTATGATTGATAATGTGAATGTGTTTAAAATAATTAAAGATTTCCACATGCTTGCAGAGGGATTTTCAATTTGTATTGAATCAGAGCAGCCTAGGGTCAGTGGTTACTAGAACAAAAGGATCTACCCCAACATCAGCTGATTTGTCAATCCAATAAACTGCAGACTGAACCCAGCACTTGGATTGGTTGACAGGTCTTAGCATTTCATGGTTGCATAATTGCAAAAGATCATTGGTATTCTTTTACAGCCAGGCGATTAACGGGCATTTTTTAATCTTCTTATTGCACTATTACAACAAATTATGTAGATGGTGGGTTTCTATGAGTGCTCCTTTAAAAGATCTGTTAGTTAAGACCACAGTGCTGTGTCTAATCATAAGCATATGTCAAACAAACTTTCATGAAATATCTCTGAAAATGGTCAGTAAAAATACCAGGACCGATGTATCAAGAGCAAAACAACTAAACTACAAGTCACACCTCACTGATCAGGTTCACAGCTCACACGAAAAAATATGACCTTGTCTTTTGGTACTGCTTATCCATGCGCATGATGTAAATAATGCAAGATTTAAAGATAATCAAGCGTACGGTGTAATTGTCATTTATTAACTGCTTTAGCCCTTAAGGACCAAGGCTCTTTTGAGATGCAACAACTTTGTGACAAAGACAGTTTGGCACTTTTCCCACACTACCACAAATGTACCCCTTTTTGTTTAAATGCACCCATACTGTTGCAGTGTAAGCATGCAGAAGCCAAACACAGAGATATGGACACAAGTCTTCAGGAAGTAAGAGGCCTTTATTCACATTACCGATCGGGTCTCAGATGAACTCCTGTTCCAAAAGATCTGAGAGACCAACACATGGTGTACAATCCTTATATAGCACTATAACTCCTCCCATTAATAGCTACACCCACATATACCTTTAACCAATCAATGAGCAGAATATAGACTTGTACATCTAGTCAAACCACATGGCCCATCCAAGACAAAGGAAATAAGTGCAATTTCAGTTCCTGCATTCCTGCACATGCTCAGTACATTGATGACAGTATCCTAGCTACGTGTAGCTGACTAACTGACACAACATACACATATGCCACATGGAAATCTTGGCCTACTAAATTTACATTCACCGAAATTCCACCACAATACATTATATAAAATATGTATATATTACAATGTTAAACCACCAGTCAAGCCATAAGACTTGCTTTTCCCACAGAAATCACAAATCTGTAGTGATGTTACTACCGCAAAGGATTCTGGGTGGGCATATGCAAATTAGTTTAAGAATCACATTTTTGCCTCATTCCATTTTAAACATTTTGAAACTGTGTATACAACAGCTTTGAAACACATTTTTAATGGAGGAATGGCATGTTTTCATAATATGTAGGCCTAACACAAAAATAAATTTTAAAAATAAATAAATAAACTCAGTTTTACACTTACACATTTCTACACACCAATTCAAAATAGATTAGCTAATTAATCCTGATTGTTAAAATGCCCAATTTGTCTGGGATTTCAAAGAATTTTTAGACATATAACAAATATTGCAAGGAGTGAATTTTACAGCTAAAGTTTTGCAAAATTTGGCATGCTGAGATTAAAACTAAGGAGGGTTATTTAAACTCAAAATAGCATTTGGTCAGTGCCCTGTCGTGGTTTCCCTTAGATGGTTATCCGAGATTGTGTGCCTGATCATGTATTTCATGTATTTCTGTTTTTTGACTTAGGCTTCGTTTTGACTGCCCTGACTTCTGGTATCCTTAACTATTGGCTTTTCCTTATCGCTGTGTCCCTGACCTTGGCTAGTATATTTATTATTCTCAGGTACGTTAAGTTCGGCCATTGTAAGGTCCAATGTTACGCTTAGTCCTAGGTGTGATACTATTCTGCATGCTGGATCATCTGTAATCCTGAAAGCTCCCTGGTCCAGTTCTGATGCTCACGTCCCCATTGAAGGTGTTTTCCGCAATAGACAGGAGTCTTCAAGGGCAGCCCCGTACGCAACTATGATGCACTGAATCTTCTGACACATTTCTGTCATGGCCAGCATTTTGAGCTACAGTATCTTTTCTGTGAGATCGGACCAAATAGGCTTGCCTTTGCTCCCTACCTGCATCAATGAGCCTTAGGCATCCATGACCCCGTCACCAGTTCACCACTTGTCCTTTGCACCACTTTTGGTAGGTACTAACCACTGAATAATGGGAACTACCCACAAGACTTGCAATTTCGCCTAACCATCACTATGTGGCGGTTTTCAAAGTCACTCAGATCTTTTAGCTTGCCCATTTTTCCTGCTTGTGACATTCGAAACTCGAGAACTCGCTGTTCACTTGCTGCCTAATATACCACACCCCTTGACAGGTGCCATTGCAATGATATAAATCAATATTACTCATTGCACTTGTCAAGGACTTTAATGTTTAGTGGCTGATTAGTGTACCTCTTCACAAACAAACAGAAATATTACACACAAGCATACTTCCACATTCACACACTAAACTTGCTATGCTATTCAATGGACACATCCTAAATCAAAAATAAAATGCTGTTCATGAGTGTTCGAGATGAAACATAGAATGTGACATCAGATAAGAACCATTCAGCCCATCTAGTCTGCCCAATTGTCTAAATACTTTAATTAGTTCCTGGCCTTATCTTATAGCTAGAATAGCCTTATGCCTATCCCACGCATGCTTAAACTCCTTCACTGTGTTAACCTCTACCACTTCAGCTGGAAGGCTATTCCATGCACCCACTACCCTCTCAGTAAAGTAATACTTCCTGATATTTTTAAACATTTAGGATGACAATGCCGCAGCGAGGGAGCTGTAATCTCCCTACTCACCTCCCTCGCGTGGCTTGAAGTGATGCCGTTATGACATCACTCCGGCCCTGGGCTCACTAAACAGTGCGCGAGAGTAGGGAAAATGACAGCAACCCCACTGGACCCCAGGGAAAGTCTATCCACTCCAGCTCTTCAAAAGTAAGGAGGCTGGGTGGATTTAAATAAGTAACTACTTGTGAGTCAGTAAGTGTGTCTCTGTGTCAGTAAATGTTTGTGTGTCTGAGAGTGAGTGTGGGTGAGATTTTCTGTCTGTGTCTGTCTATGTCTGTGAGTGTGTTTGTGTCTGTATGTGAGTGTGCCTGTGTGTGTGTGAGTGAGTGTGCGTCTGTATGTCTGAGAGTGTTTTTACTCACCTTTTTTTCCCCACGCCGTGCTGATGATGCTGCGGCTGGCCCTACCTCCATGGCTCAGATTATGAATCTTGACGATCTCAGCCAATCCAATGCTTCCCCATAGGAAAGCATTGGAAGACTATTGCGCACGCACGGCAAATGCCACTGCGCCAATAAAATTTCTCATAGAGGTGCACTGAATCAATGCATCTCTATAGGGAACATTAACAAAGGTGCTGCACATTGTTAAGCACTGACCCAGGAAGCACCTCTAGAGGCCATCTGAGTGACTGTCGCTAGAGGTGTTACCAGGCAGCAATGTAAACACTGCCTTTTATCTGAAAAGTCAGTGTTTACATTGAAAAGCGTTCAGGGACAGGATATAGACTTCAGAACAACTGCATTAAGCTGTAGTGATTCTGGTGACTATAGTGTCCCTTTAAGAATTGTATTTTTGGCGTTAATTTCTCTAGCTCCTTACTTTTCTAGCTGGCTCCTAGATTCCAAGAAAATTTGTCAAGCCCTGCAGTAAGGTATGATCATTTCACATGATGAAAACCTTCTTTAGCCATTTTATAAACTTATTTTGAGTACATAGTACACTTTTGGGCATCCGTCCTTAAAAATGACATCAACAGACTAAAACAGCTCATGTGTGTACAACAACATTAGTAGAGGAACATGAAAATCCTACTTATGACGAGTAGCTATGATGCAGTTTCCATAAGAAAAATTGTGTATTTCAAGGGTTAAGACATTATTATAAAAATAAATACAAAACCAATATACACAGCTCTAGTACTCTAATTAACCCCTTAAGGACTGAGCCAAATGTACACGTTGTGAACAAAACAAAACGTAAACAAAATCTGGCATTTGCGCTACATGTCTGTCCAACCGTAATTCACCTCTTTCATATTAAATGCACCCACCCTTATTATATGTCATTTTATTCAGGGGAAACCGGGCTTTCGTTTAATATCAAATATTTAGCTATAAAACATAATTTAATATGAAAAAAATGGGAGAAAATAAATTATTTTTTTAGTTCTACGTGACATTTTAACTGTCAATGTCATAATACTGTTTGCTTTTACTGCAATAAAATACACATATTTGTATTCAGCAAAGTCTCACGTGTAAAACAGTACCCCGGATGTACAGGTTCTATGGTGTTTTGGGAAGTTACAGGGTCAAATATAGCAAGTTACATTTGAAATTGAAATTCGACAGATTGGTTACGTTACCTTTGAGACTGTATAGTAGCCCAGGAATCAAATTTACACCCATAATGGCATACCATTTGCAATAGTAGACAACCCAAGGTATTGCAAATGGGGTATGTCCAGTCTTTTTTAGTAGCCATTTGGTCACAAACACTGGCCAAAGTTAGCGTTAGTATTTGTTTGTGTGTGAAAAATGCAAAAAAGGCCAAATTTGGCCAGTATTTGTGACTAAGTGGCTACTAAAAAAGACTGGACATACCCCATTTGCAATACCTTGGGTTGTCTACTATTGCAAATTGTCAGGGTATTTATATCGGCAGACATTTTGTGCTATGATAGAAACTAAAAGTGTATATTCTGAGTCACTCTGAACAGACCAGACTCCATTTTGTTATTTCAAGTTAACAAAGAAGACACTAGATTTCTTTCTGTAAGACTGGCCTCTTTGCCAGAGCTAAGGAATGCATAGCATAGTATAAACAAGTGATAAGGAAGGGGGTTGGACAGACTGTCTAATGCTAATGGAATATAATCAAATCTAAACCCAGACAATTGTGACAGAGAAGATTAAATAATAATATTTAACTGTCTATTTATATAAGGTACCATTGTATGGAAAAGGGTAAACTTAATTCATGATCTGCCATATCAGAAATTATGGCAGGAATTGCAGACGCTAAGTCTGGACAAAATTTAAGAAACCCTTTGAAATCTGAATTATGGCCACTATCTAGATAGGCCAAAATGACGTCAAAATAACCACCAGGAAAAGTCAACTCTTTCCTGGATAGGTATGTTTAGTGGGACAAGACTGCCCTCTATAGACCAAATAACTAATTTGCGATCTAGAAGATAACCACACCTCTAGTGCTTCTATTGGGTTATCAACTGATGACGTACAGAGAGTCTGGCCCTTTAAAAGTTAAGACAAAGGGAAGATAGAGATATACGAGAAGAGGAGATCCAAGAGATATGCAAAGAAAAAGAGGAGAGAGGAATTGGAAGTTTGGGGACTCCAACCTCCATGCAGAGAGAGACATCCAAATAAGTTCCTGAGACTACCAATCGGATGAAATATCTACTCAACTGGTAATTATACTGGTTTCATTTAATTAAATTAAATTAATTAAAATGTATTAATAGCATTATATATGACTGGATAAAGCACGGTCAGATTTCCATATTAAGAAATCTTAGTTAACTAAGAATATATAGTTATAAACATTCCATTCTGCAGGTGGAATTAAGAATAATTATATATTGATGTGATATTATCACGTGTTAGCATACCGCTGTTTTTATCCAGGTGTATTGATTTGCTCTAAATTAAGATAGATATCTTTTAGACAAATTAAAAATCTTCTTATATAAATATATTAGATTCTCTTATTGGATGGTTTTCAGGAAATGACTAATGAACTGGTTTAAATGTTATTTTATTTAAAAATTACATAAGAATAGATCTTAAATACCTAGGAGATCTAGCCAGCATTGAAAGGGTTATTCTAACTGTCTGCTAAACTTTACGACCTTACGCTGCACTCTAAGGAATTCTGTTCTTCGCTGTGAAAAGTTTCACTTAAGTCTGTGTTAAGGATACCTCATAAATCGTCAGAATTCTTGACAGAAAATGCTAGTTAGCCATTGAAACGTAATACCCATTCCTTTGTATTGCATATAATTTTGTACTGGATATTCATTGATTATTGTTATGCATGTTACATAATATTATTTGTTTATTAATTAGTCATATAAATAAAAATCTATTTTTATACATCGTGAATATTATTTATATGAAATACATTTCACTTAACACGATAAACGTTCTTTGGGATCTGAGAATTGAATTAGTGGGCAATTCTCACTGTTACTATTATTATCCCATAAATATTCCCACAAAATGGTATGCCATCATAGGGGTAATTTTCATTCCTGGGCTACCATAGGGTCTCAAAGGCAACGTAACTAATCTGGCAAATTTTAATGTGAAAAAAAACACAAACTTTATATTTGACGCTGTAACTTTTGAAAACACCATAAAACCTGTACATGAGGGGTACTGTTGTACTCGGGAGACTTTGCTGAACACAAATATTTGTGTTTCAAAACAGTAAAAAGTATCACAGCAATAATATCATCCGTGTAAGAGCTGTTTGTGTGTGAAAAATGCAAAAAACATCACTTTTACTGGCGATATCATCGTTGTAATACATTTTACTGTTTTGAAACACTAATATTTGTGTTCAGCAAAGTCTCCCGAGTAAAACAGTACACCCCATGTACAGGTTTCATCACCGCACATGATTTGCACTCACTTTAGTCCATTTATAGAGGTTTTAGATATTAATGAGGGTATTTCTTTGTCATATCTGAATATTTAACGATTTGGCTTTAATTTCCATAAAGGGAAAAACAATGTTATTCATTAAACTGAACATTTTCTGCTAAAACCGGAGGAGGCAGGATCCCAGGTGAGTCTCCCCAACAGCGATCGCCGGCAACCGGGTAAGTAACAAAAACCGTGAGGGCGTACTATTACGCCCTCGGCGTTTAGAGCCGCTTAGAATATCGCGTAATAGTACGCCCTCCGGTTTTAAGGAGTTAACAAATCACAGATAGAACACAAGCATTGAGAAAAGCATTAAATCAACCCTCCAAGCCTCTTAACCACTGCAGTTTGTGAACGGTTTGACATCTTACCTGTGGTCCACTGGGTGCTCTTCCTCTATGGAAAGCCAAAAGCTCTCCTGAGAAAAACCAGGTCAGTAGCAGAGAAAGTCAGCAGGATGCTCTCCGCCAATAAGCTACATCCTGGATTGCCAGCTCTCATGAAAGAGGTGGCACGAGCACTGTAGTAGTTACGGTGCTTGGAGGGTGCTTTAAATGGACACTGTAGTCACTAAAACAACTTAAGCTTAATGAAGCAGTTTTGGAGCATAGATCACGCCTCTGCAGTTTACTGCTCAATTCTTTGCCATTTAGTAGTTAAATCACTTTATATACACAGCCATAGTTACAGCTCCCTTCATGTCTCAAAAGGTCTTCCGAAACACTTTCTGTAAAGTAAGAGCTAATGTTTAAATTTTCTTAATGCGCATTCGGTTTAATTTGTATCTTGTGCACTGTTAATGTTTGTGATTAAAGTTAAATGGCTGATAATTGAACAGTGAGACTGCAAAGGCATTATTTATACAATATAACTGCTTCATTAAGCAAAAGTTGTTTCAGTTACTATAGTGTCCCTTTAAAAAGAAAGCTTGAATTGCCAAACTGAAATGGTAAATTTAAAATATTGTCATCAGCAACAGGAAGTTGCCAAAAAATGTTCTTCACGTACGTAAATCTATTTTCCTGCCACAATAAATATGTAATTGTATTTTATTTGGTCTGTTAAATGACACCAGTAGATGACTCACTCATATCCTCTACTTAGATTGCTTTTCTAGTGGTTATTTTATTTGCAAAATCTGGGGATTTAAACCAATAAACCCAGACATTATTATAATTTGCAAACACTTAGACATAAAACAAACACCAACCCTTCATTTAAATATGGATGTGTTTTTTCTGGCTCTTCCAGAATATTGGATACAAGTCCATATAAATCCATCTCACTGTCATACTCGTTCCTTTCATCTTGAATCCTAAAATGGAAGAGGTCATTAGTTGGTTCAGATTAGAGCTGGATAAATCCCATACATAGGTCTTTTAAAAGAACACAACACCTACCATACATTCAATTACCCAATATATATCAGTTCTCTCCTACCTCTACATCTCCAGATCATACCCTTTTATCCATCTTTTAAATCGTTAATGTCTGCTCCCTTTTCTTCAGGTCGTTCACCACCTCTACTTGTGCTCATCCTTTCCATCTGCACTCATGACTATAGTTTCCTTTGGGCTCTACCTAAAACATTGTTTCCCTTTGTATATCAATCTCCTCTGGCACATGTCCTTTATGTCAAAAAAACTCTTTCACCACCGACTATTCTAAAGTAACTCATGTTGTGCAACCATTGGATTAAACGTGAAATCTATACAGGCATACCCCACTTTTAAGTACACAATGGGACCAGAGCATGTATGTAAAAGAACATGTACTCAAAGTGAAGCAATACCTTTTTTCACTTCCCAATGCATGTACTGCACTGCAATAGTAATTTACAGGCATAACTGATACTGCAACTGCAGATTTCCAGTGGGCTTTTATTCAGTTAAAACAAACAGTAAAAAAAAGAAGAATCTCATTCCAGATTATACCATTTATCTTTAATGTTTTACTCATCTGACAACCTTAAACTGGGAGGAAAAGTAAAATCAATACAGTGCCAATTTGTATTCGTTAGCAGCTTAGTTGCACACTTTGTTTAGAAACATCTCATCACTTCAAGCATTTATGGTTTAACTTTGAGTCCTCAGAATTGTGGCTAATGCAGCTAAGCTGCAAAGTCATAGTTATAGAAAATGGATGGCATCCCTTTCACTGGATGGCAGCCGATTGTAGAATATGGACAATGTATGGGCAGGAAAAAAAAATATATGTTCAGCTAAGAGTAGGCATTATAAATTTGAGATGATTAACCTGTGTCATGTCAGAAGCTATGAAAAATTCTTGCCCCAATGATACTGAACTAAGCTGCTCCAGGCGAGAATAGAACCTTCCATTTACTGTTTACTCGCAAAGAGAAGAGGCGCGGGAATGTCTGTACTCGCGAGGCACCTTTAAAGTACACTCGCGGGTATGTCTGTACTCGCGAGTGTATGTAAAGCGGGGTATGCCTGTACAGAATACCAAGCAATATTATATAACCCAACTCCAGTCATACTAGAGAATCTAAAAAACAAAAATCTTTTCAACATGATTGATGTGTAGTGCTTCCTTATAGTAAATTTCTGCTAGGTGAGATGTCAAACAGTGGAAAACTGCTATGTTGATTACCGTGCGACAATGTAGCACACATAACCACAGATTTGGAGAGCATCCCTCTGCCGCAAAAATATGTGTAGCTATATTACTACAAACAAGACATCTGAACTTACTTGTTCTTGATCTGCAAGCTACTAGTTTGTTTTACTTCATCTCCATGGGTAGACCACGGTGTGTTGAAAAGTGAAGCATTGGATGAATTTGTAGAATAATCTGAAGAAGTTGTAGGGGCTGAAGATTCATAAGTCGGATTCGCTGCTGAAGTCTCAATATTCTGCAAAGTCACATTATTTATTTTACATTGGAAAAAAGGTACAAATACAGCAGCAACACAAAGTATTACAAAAAATGTTTTGGGGTTTGCGTAACCCTATTGGCATGGTCTTACCTGTGATTCCAAGCCAAGATCAAGTTCGCTCTGCTGCCCAATCCTCCTCTGGTGACATCACTCCCCTTACTGTAGGGGAAGTGATGTCAGAAAGGATTGGCTGAGGGGAGGACTCGGGTGGGCGGTGCAATCACTGAACATCTGTTTCCAGTGCTGACAACAAACATAAAATATTCATAGAAATAACATTTGTAGATCCAGAACTCTTGTTCCAGTCTAACTAATGACGCTGCTGAAGGTGGTGATACACCTCCAGCAGTAAAAGGCTATAACTCTATGTGCAGTGTTTCAGTTTAAAATGTTGCACAAACAAACACAGACTCCAAGCATCACAACAGCTTTAAATCACTGAAGTGGTCATGGTGCTTGGACTAACCCTTTAAATAGTAGTGTAGTGGAGCTCCAATAACCAGACTGGGTATCTCTGCTGATCCCTCCTCGTAGCTGCTGGTTAGTGATTGTGAAGAACTTCCCTAGTTAACGTTCCCAGTTTTAGCCGAATTAACTTTGCCTTGGTCTGGTACTTTAATTCTGCCGAACACTCCCTCACTGGCATTTGGCAGCCATTTTGCTACTGTCGAACGCTACTAGCGGCTTGTAGCCACAAAACCTCCAGAACTCTTTTCAGCAACTCCACCATCCGTTTCCCAGTTCCCCATCACCGTTTCTACCCCTTTCCCGGCCAATCAAGAGAGCGGCAATTGGAGGGGAGGCGCCCTGGACTACGGCGACCAATCGCTGCCTGAGAGCCAAGGGCGGCTCGTATTTGTTTGTCCTCAGTAACTCCCGATAAATTGACCCGAACGTTACCCTGGTGGCGATACGGCTACACTACACAGATCTGAGCACTATTTGGACAACTTGGGCACTCAGAACCGTGCTATATTTTATAAGGATATAAAATTATGTGGGGGTTCCAGTCTATTTTACTTATGTTCTAAGGTTTCACTTGTTGTACCTCGTGCTTCTGGGAGATAATTAGTTTAAGCCAAACCAAACTCACTTATCTCCCAGACACGGAGACGTACTCTTCATCAAGTCATGATGTTTGGGTATCCGAAAGAGGGAGCGCTTTATTCAATGGGGTCTCTATTCAACACAGTGTACCCGCCAAGATGTATGTGCCTGGGAGAAAATGTAGCAGTCCGCTAAACAAATTATCTCCCCGATACAGAGTACCAAACATAAAACACCCCAAAATACGGTTAACACAGAAACCCTGAATGTCATACATTCCCGGATAGCTCTTGTCCGAGCGCCCAAGTTGTCCAAATAGCGTCTGGATTCATAAAGAATTGCCCAATCGCCACTGGGGTAAAATTTTGACCAGCCGCACACAAGGACAAATCCCAAAATAGTTCCAATTTAAAAGTGGCCTTAATTCTCTGGGAGCGATGATTCCCTTTAGTCTGTAGTACTTTCCCTCCAAATAGCGCTCTCCTGGCAGGTCGGGAAGTAAGACAAAAAGGTGAGCAGGGGTTTTTCGACCAACAACCGATTGGAATCTTTCGGCTCTTTGGGCACGAATGCCTGCCAGGGAACATGAGCGTTCAGGAGTTACATTCGGAAGAAGGGAAGGCACTGAACCAGGGGTGATTATAGTTCCTTTGGGAACAAGATAGGGGAATACAGCACAGGGTCCGCCACAAGTAGCATATAGTAATAAACATTAAAAGGATCATCGCTGTGTTAATGGAAAGAATTCTAAATGAGACATCCATCAATAGCTGTAGACATTCTGCTTGTACCATCCGAGAGCCAAGTCTGACCAGCAGGCACTCGGCCCGACACTCTGAATAGCTCCCAGGTTGACTGATTGTTAAACACTAATTTACTGTTCACTGGTTACTAGACTGGCCCTAGAAAACCCTAACTAAACTTAACCCTGACTGTAACTAACTTTGCCCCTTACACCTACCTTTCACTGTTTAGTAGATATATCTAATCTAAGTTTACCCTAGTCATAACACTAACTGACCTGTACATTAAAGGGACACTCCAGCTTGCCGAAATGCTCTATGTGTGAAGAGTGTGTCCTCTTTTTTTTTTTTCCATTTTATGAATAGTACAGATGTCAAGAGAAATTTACTCTCTCTCTCTTTTTTTTTTTTTTTAATAAATGAACCTAGGGATACTATAGGGCCAGGAATACAAAGCTGTATTCCTGACAGTATAGATCTCTCTGGCTACCCCCTCCCTTGCACATCCCCAACACACACACAAAAAACGTTTTATTTACTTACCAGACCCAGCACTTGACGAGGTCTCCCCATAGGAAAGCATTGAATAAATGCTTTCCTATGAGGGAAATAGCGGACTCTGGATATCCGTTAATACCCAGGAAGCGCCTCGAGTGGACATCCACTGGAGGCAGACTTGGTGCTGCAATGTAAACATTGCAGTTTCACTAAGTGCAACAGGGACATTGTCCCTTTAAATCAGACAACAGGCCCTATTACATTCTGGTTTGCTTAGCTCAGTGAAGCTAAAGTGTAAAGGCAGGTGATTTCTCAATGAAACTGCCCATAGCAAAAAAAAGCCATTACTTATCAGGAATCTCACATGCTGGTTTATGGGGTATGATCTTATCACATAATACGGTGTTCCAGAAGAGTTTATGGGATATCTGGTTCTGCCATAGCAAGCGGCTACAATGAAATTATATTTCAACCACTTCTCACAGGTTTGAGAATGTGGCTATGCACTACTTTTATTAAGGCTGTTTTAGTGCAGCAAAGGGAGGTGGACTTAATGGTTTACACACACCATACAGGTATATTGGCACAGGCAAAGGTGAAAGTTTGGTTTCCTCTTCTGACATATGGCAGGAAAAGGGCTTAAAGGGACACTCCAGGCACCCAGACCACTTCTGCCCATTGAAGTAGCCTGGGTGCCAACTCCCACTACCCTTAACCCTGCAAGTGTAATTATTGCAGTTTTTATAAACTGCAATATTTACCTTGCAGGGTTAACTCCTCCACTAGGGGGCACTTCCGTGTTTATAGCACCTCCAGCATCTCTGAAATCCCCACAGGAAAGCATTTTTCAATGCTTTCCTATGGGGAGGTCTAATGCGCGTTAGGTCTCCCCCGCCGGCAGCCGTGCATGCTCAATAGGTCTCCCCCGCCAGATGACGTCGAGGGGGAGGAGCATGGGCGGACCCTGAACCAGCGTCGAGAGACATCGGCGCTGGATACAGTTAAGTCACTGAAGGGGTTTTTAGCCCTTCAGCAACTTGGGATGGGGGGTGGGAGGGAGAGGGGACCTGCAGTGCCAGGAAAACTGTTTGTTTTCCTGGCACTGGAGAGTCCCTTTAATGCTGCAGCGATTTTATTAAGTAGCTGTGTGCGAAGAGAAAGGGGACATACATTTATGGATCAAAATTACAATGTCATGTATACACAGCAGAAATATCACTGACCTCAGAAAAGAACTTTGAAAACAGAGAGGGAATGAAACAGATGTTTCTAAATCAACCTGATTAAATAATATACCTGTATTTCGTATGGATCATAGAAGGCTGTAGGTGTACACACATTACTGTTAAAAACATCCAGCTGCTTGCTACTTGCGTCCAAGTTATTCCAGCAAAGTCCATTTAATCTACTGGCAGTTTTATACTTTAAAAGATAGACACAAGTGTTAATAAAAAGAAAACCAAAAAATCAGGAGCATAAATGTATTTAGAGGCCAGATTTCTTATTGTTACTCTACAGCTGTTTAGTTGTTCATGGACATAGATAAAATACAAGGAATACTCTCCTAACCAATCATTCCATTGGATTCATACTATTATAAAAGTTAATTAATAGTTTGCTTCCTTATAAAAGTTATGGACAGAACTCTCCAACTATGCTCTTTCAAATATCCATATCAAGAGTTTATACTTAAGACATTTAAATAATACCATTGATTGCATTTAGGAATTCAGAATATACTTGGACCTCACCGTCCAAGGTATTGCCATGCTACTGTTGTATTCTTTACTAATGAGTTCCAGCAATAGCCTCAGATGTGTTGCCCAGTAATTTCTATTGTAGTTTATAATCATATGTATAAGTATAAGCATATCAACCATAAAGGGATACTTGACGCATCAAGACTTACTGCTACATTCTGTGCTATTTAGCAGTTAATTCACTTTGTTTAGCCACACCTATCTAGAACTGCGACTTACACACTTTTCATTTTAAAAAAATAAAAAGAAGAAAGAAAAAGTTCCTCCAAGCATCATGAGCAGTTCACTGATTTAAAGTGGTCATGGTGCATAGAGTATGTATGTGCAGACTCCAGCCGTGTCAAGAGACTTGCTAACATGAAATGCAAATAACTGTGATATGGCCAAAACATCAATACCCTGTGTTTTGAAGAAACAAAATGGACTGCTCTATTGTATTAAAGAAAAAAATAAAATACTGAAAAATTTTATTTTGCACTTTTTCATAATCAAGTATCAGAAATTAAAGATAATTACTAGTACTAGAAAAATGAGGCATACTCATCAATGACCTAAACTTGTAAACCGTTAGTGGCATTTTGCAGGCCATTTCTGGTCCCTTACCTACTTTCTGCAATCTGCATTCAACGGCCCAGTTAGTCTTGAAATAGAGAGGTTTTTCATGAATCCTGGAATTCTGGTGCCTGATCCACTTAAGACAGGGCTTGACAAATTTGCTTTCAATTAAGAAGCCAGCTAAAAAAATGTAGGAGCCAGTTTTTTTTCCAACGTCAAAAATACAATTCTTAAAGGGACCCTATAGTCACCAGAAACGCTACAGCTTAATTTAGAGAGACTGGTGTCTGTAACCTGTTCCTGTAGGTTTTTCAATGTAAGCTCTGCTTTTTCAGAGAAAAGGCAGTGTTTACCTTGCTGCCTAGTAACCCCTCTAGTGGCAGTCACTCAAGCAGCCACTATAGTGTCTCCTATCTCAGTGCTGCACCTACATTCAACGTGGAGGCGGCGCTAAACATTCCTCATTGAGATGCATTGCTTTAATGCTTCACTATGAGGAGATGTTGATTGGTAATTGGTAATCTCAGTTATGGAAGCGGGCCAGCTGCGGCGAGACTGGCACGGCGTTGGAAAACAGGGGAGTAAAAACACCATTCCCATGTGATCGGAGAACAGACACACACACTAACAGACATCCTCTCCCACACTCACAAGATATTTATTATTTGATACACACAAAGAATCAGATGTACACAGACAAATATATACACATACACTGACAGACATACATGCACACAAAAAAAAAATACTTTTGGGTGCAGGAGGGTGGCTTCCCGGAGGGTCCAGTGGGACAACATTAGATTGGTGGGGCTGGCTGCAGCTAATAGGAGTGGGCTGCTGCTGGTTAAGACTCCTCTCCTCCATCTGTCTCGATATATCACATGCAGCTCATTGTGCGCTGGGAGGAAGTGAAGGGATCTGCAATTACTTCCTCCCGGTAGCCGCGCAGGGGAACGATTGTGTGGGCGGCGAACAGAGACGATTTTATCAGGTGTCCTGCTAGTTCTCTGTGCCGCCGCAGCACCGGGAGAAAGTAATTACAGTACACTTCCTCCCGGTACACCTGCGCACAGAAAGCTACGCGGGGATTGAAATAGGAGTGAACGGGCTGACCAATCCCAGGCGCCTAGGCAAACCAGGCACCTGGGATTTGTCAAGCTGACACAATTGAGCCCATGTTTGAAGAGACACTAACAACCAGAAACACTACAGCTTAATGTAATGGTTCTGGTGAAGAGTGTCCATATATTTTCTCAACTGCGTAAGTGCAGCAGCCCTCCCAATGCTTTCTATTGGGTAGCACTGGATTGGCAGAGATCATCACTTTTGCCCTCAACCAGGGTGAGACCAGAGCGGTGTGCAGTTAGCGAATAAAAACGGTTTATTTAACTTTTACAGTGAGGCCCTGCATTCTAAAAATGCATTCTGTGTTTGAATCATGCTGGCTCTGCTCCTGATCTGCCTCTTTGTCAGTCCAAGCCAATCCTATGTGGAAGCACTGTGACTGGATCAGGCTACCACATCTGATGATGTCAGCAGACTGCTTGTTTTTTTTTTTAGGCAAACAGCATGCAGAGTTACAGCTTCTGGCTTGAATACAGTAAGATTTTGCTATATTTATGGAGGCATGAGGGGCCCTGGGGGGCTAAATGGTGGTTTAAACACTATAGGGTCAGGAATACATGTTTATGTTCCTGACCCTATAGTGATCTTTTAAATAGAATTTGCAATGAAGGAAGTATAAACATTTGCTGACTCTTTACAGGAAGTGTTTAGGAAAGATGTGCAAGTCACAAGCAAGAAGGTGTGACTAAGGTGCATAAATAAAGTGATTTAACTCCAAAATGGCAGAGATTTGAGCAATAACACTGCAGGGAAATTATCTATACACACCAAAACTGCTTCAATAAACTAAAGTTGTTTTGGTGACTATAGTGTCTCTTTAAACACGTTTGTTTTTCTAACAATTTCCAGAGAGCTTGTTTAATGTGTTTAAATCAGATCTGCCCCTTTTAGGGTTCAATGCATATATACAACATACATGACCTCTCTGGTGTGTGTGAGCATCATGCATCAAATATACATAGAATTGACATTAGCCAACCCGGAATTCTTGTGGTAGGGTTACACCGTATAAGAATTATTTTCCAGTGGTGAAGACCATCGTATACAATAAACCAGAATGCCATGGACTTCACTCTAGCGATCTCTACTTTAACATGAAGCCCTATTGCAGTACTGGATGAGCCCCAAATGAACGACAAAACATACAGGTGTAGGTTCCTAAAGATTTGCCAAAGATTTTAATGCGTAGCAACATAAAGAGTAATCATGTCTAGGGGCACGATGTAACAAGAGTTAGCACATTTTCAAAGCACTGCATCTTGTGGGCCATAAATCCAGCACATCATTCCCTAACTGGCATTATTTTATCCCTGTTAGAAGCTCATGATTTCTCAGTTTTTGTTGCAGAGCCAAATAAATAAATAAATAAATGTTTGCTGTGAAAAAAACAGAAAGTTCGAACAATGTCCTTGAAATGTTAGTAAAGCACAAAACAAACAATGGACTATCGCCCAGATGTTGTTATATCAAAACATTAAAAAAAAAATCCATCACACCTCCAACAAGGGTTAAATTCTCTATATGAAGTTTTTTTTATAGCAAAACACTGCATGTACATACTCCAAGTATCATAACCACTTCAAATCAGAGGTGCTTGGAGTAACCCTTTAAGTCACTGAGAGTAGGCTCAAGGTGCTCAATGCAACATCACGTTTGCAATTATGAAAGTTCTGGTGGTGTTAAGAGTGACCCTTTACTGAAAAAGAGGGAAATTGGAGTTAAAATACAAAGCAGGGCTAAATATATATTATTAATGTTCAGCAACATAAAAACCTTACAGTCACACCCTTTTCAGCTAAAGCGACATGTTTGGGTTTTTTTTATTAGCAAATATTATTTCACCTATGCTTTATAGTGTTCTGAGCTCTCACAGAGCCCTTTGTGGTAGAATCATAACTAATTGTTCAGCATTTCATAAAAATGTGCAGTGTTTTATTAGAATGTCATGCAATCATCTTTCTATGTGTTTAGAAATGCATGCTATAGCTGTTGCATTGCAAGCCTGTTAGCATTATCTATGCACAACTAAAATAAAGAATTGGAAAAAATAAAGGAAAAAAAAAACCTTAGTCAATAAGGGGTAAAGGTAATTTACATGTTCAAATGGTAAATTCACTGAATTATAGATGGAATTCATTTAGTGTATCTGTGACATCATCTCTTCAAGAGATCAGCAAAAATGTACAGTACAGCTAAAGAGGCAATAAAAATAATTACATGTTAAAATATTCTCAGTACTGGTTAATTATCCTCGCCGGATTTTGATCTGATTTGTTCCTTGGGTGCACTTAAATCAGAGAATGGCAAAGCTAACATTTACAAAACCAAAACAGAGTGGAAGAGAATACTAAAAACAGGCAAATACTGCCTGCTCTGCTCTTAATCAAATTTTAAAGGACCACCAATGTCATGCAGGCCTTTTTATCCCAATTAGGGTTAATCACTAAAGTAAGAATTCAAGGTGAATTTCATATTGAACGCCCCTACTTAACGCCATATGCGACCATGGTGTTGGTCCATTCCACTGTCCTTTCTCGCCTTGACTACTGTAATCCGCTTCTCAGTGGTCTTACGTGCTCCCAACTTGTGCCGTTACAGTCCATAATGAATGCGGCAGCGAGGCTCATCTTCCTGTCTGCCCGCACCTTCCATGCCTCACCCTCCTGTCAGTCCCTACATTGGCTTCCTATAAAATATAGAGCTCAGTTTAAAATTCTGGTTCTTGCTTTCAAATCGCTACATAATGCTGCTCCCACCTATCTATCCTCCCTTATACAAAAGTATGTCCCGTCTAGGCCCTCACGATCTGCTGAAGACTTAAGTCTATCTTCTGTCCGTACTCCCACCTCTGATGCTCGCCTTCAAGATTTCTCGAGGGCTGCACCGTTCCTGTGGAACTCGCTTCTCTCCTCCGTTAGATGCTCACCCAGTCTCCACTCCTTTAAAAAAAATCATTAAAAACCCACTTCTTCATAAAAGCGTATAAATTAAACTGTTAATAGCCCCTGACTGATTCCTCTTCTGCAACTGTCATTAGTCTAATACTATCCTTACCTTTTTGTGTCATTTTACCCCACTCCCTCTAGCATGTAAGCTCATTGAGCAGGGCCCTCAACCCCTCTGTTCCTGTGTGTCCAACTTGTCTGGTTACAACTACATGTCTGTTCGTCCACCCATTGTAAAGCGCTGCGGAATTCGATGGCGCTATATAAATACATAATAATAAGTAATAAAATAGCCAAACTGGAAAAATACTCTCAGACAGCAATGCTTTCAGTTTGTCTACTCTGGCCTTAAATTTGGAATTCTCACTGATCTGAATAACCCTG